CCCCCCCCCCCCCAGTGTCGAGGCACCATTTCTATTTTCACAATAAGCAATATGTCTGTAGTTCAGGCATCTTCAATATTGAAATTGAGCCAACCACCAAACCTGGCTTGTGCATTAAGACCTTATCAAATATTGTAGTTCAATCTAAAAAATCGTCAATTTAATTTTAATCGGACGATTTTATTTCCGGAAAATCTATATTAGGACCAAAAAATTCAAACAAATTATATTCTTTTTTATGATATAAAAGATGCTAAATTCAGAGAGGAACGCCATTTTTAAAAATATCTAAAAATAAATAAACTTAGGCCAAATAATGACAGTGCAAAAAAACCTTTTAATCCTTTTCTTGTTTTTTTTGTAAATTTTTTCAGTTAATTTTCATTATTTTTAGATTGGTTAAACATCTGAACTAAGTATTTAAATCGTCCGATTCGACTGGTATGGACGATTTAAGCTTTTTTATTACAATATTATTTTTGCTCTGAAGGGTGGTTGGAAAATTTCTAAATAAGTCGAAAATCGATCATCCCTAATATATTTAGATACGTAGTTTTACATATAAAAAATGTAGATATATAGGAATAGTTTTATGAATTGATAAATATGCAGATTAAGACATATTTATCTACATATTTGTGAGGAAATTTAGAAGGTCAACTGAAAAATTGGCCAAAGGGAATTATCAAACTTTAAATTTTACATTTCAGATTTAATAGAAATAAATTACGTCAATAAACATTATTCTTATATTTTGTGTCTCAACCAAATTTTGCCAAAAAAAATTTAACATCATAGCAAGACATAATTAACAGTATTATAATAATTATAATCATTATCATATCGATTCACCAATCCGATACAAACGACAAGTCAAAAAAATGAAAAAAGTATTTTTTCTATTTTTTTTAAATCAAAGCTAAAAGTTTTTAAAAACAATTATTAAAAAATTATTTTAAAATACCTCACAGCCAAACTAATCCACTTCCCCATCTTGGTTTAAAGAAAATATATTTCACTTGAACCACGTCATGAACTTCTAAACTTATCCGCGCACAGATATTTCTATGTGCATGCACCCTGCTGTGTGCTTGTGCACTGTCTTCCAGACACGCGTATACTGATATGTGCACGGTGTGTGCAGTGCACTCAACAGTATGTTTACCCTGCCGCAGATATATGTATACGCTCCTAGCAACACTACACACATACATATAGCATAGACATACACACGTGCACAGACATGGTCATACACAACACACTAACGGACGATCTACTTTAAAACACAAACAGACGATCTACTTCAATACACAAACAGACGATCTACTTCAAGACATAAACAATCGATCTACTTCAAGACATAAACAGACGATCTTCTTCATGACATAAACAGACGATCTACTTCAAGACAAGATTAGACAATCCAATTAAAGACATAAACAGACGATATAATGCAATACATAAACAGACGATCTACTTCAAGACCTCAATAAACGATCTACTTCAAAACAAACGATCTTTACTTCAAGACATAAAAAGACGATATATTTCAAGACATAAACAGACGATCTACTTCAAGGCATAAACAGACGATCTACTTCGAGACAACAGACGATCTACTTCAAGATATAAACAGACGGTCTACTTTAAGACATCAATAAACGATCTACTTCAAGAGATCAACAAAAGATCTAAGTAAATACATAAACAGACGATCTACTTCAAGACATAAACAGACAATCTACTTCAATACATAAATCGACGATCTACTTCAAGACATAAATAAATGATATACTTCAAGATATTAACAGACGATCTAAGTCAATACATAAACAGCGATCTACTCCAAGACATAAACAGACGATCTTCTTCAAAACATAAATGGACGATCTACTCCAAGACATAAACAGACGATCTACTACAAGATATAAACAAACGATCAACTACAAGACAAACAGACGATCTACTTCAAGACATAAACAGAAGATCTACTTCAAGACATAAACAGACCATCTACTCCAATACATAAACAGAAGATCTACTTTAGGACATAAACAGACGATCTACTCTAAGGCATAACCTGACGATCTACTTGAAGACATGAACAGATATGAAGTCCTACGAGCAGGAATCTCCAAACATGCATAATGCAGAGAGATAGTTTATGAGTTCTCAAATTTACGAACTAGTAAACAAATACCTATTTATGCTGAGTTGTATTTTTTTATGGGACAATATGCTTTTTACAGCGAGTGTTTTATGCTTTTCAAGTTTGCATATCTGATGTTTAATATCAAGTGTTTTACTTTAAAAAAATGTTTGACTGAGAAAACACATTAAGTTCTGTTAAATCTTAGAAAAATATTAGAACAAGGGTGCTATATTATAGGCGGTATTGAGGGTGCTATATTATAGGCGGTATTGCCGGTATTGTGATATATATGTCATGAATGTGAAAAAAATTATAAAACAATAAACAGTGAATGTGAAATTATGGGAATTTTTTTTTTATCCACATCAATCATCAATCATTTACCATTTTATTTCGAGGAGCACCGAATATTTTTAAAAGTTGTCTTCATTTACCATTTTATCGTGTACAATTAAGACGAAGAAAAAGCTACAATTTTTTTTATAAACGAAATAGACCATGAAAAAACTCCCCCCCCCCTCCCCAACTAAATTTTGGTTTAATTTCATATCCCTTTTCCATGTACTGCGCCTAATAACAACAATGATCAGTGTAGTTGATTAAGCAAAATAGACACGTCACAATCTAGCGTACATTACATTTTATCCACTTGTCCTGACGGGATATATAAATATATGCCAGAAAAGATCCATAAATATAGCTGCAGGTCTGATACGTAGTAATTAAGTGAACTGTGACTGATCTGATCTTGATATCTGCATGTTTATAGCAGATCTCACAAAGCTCTATAATGCCAATTTATTTTAGTTTTTTTTTATTGCTCCCAATTATCAAAATGAATAATCTAATATGTTATTATAATTGTGCTTGGGACCATCACTACTTCTTACATGGATTCCCTCGAAACAAACCGTATGGGGATGCCTTTAGTATCGTCTTTGATCTATGAAATAATGTGCGGCATTAATCAATTTTTCATAAAAAGACAGACCACATTACGAGTATTTTGTATTAACGGTTTTAAAATCCTACTCGTACAAGTAGAAAAAAAACATTTCCAATCTTCAAATCTTCTCTTAACTGTAATGTTTTGCGTGACAACCTGTACACATAGGCGTATTCAAGGGGGGCTATTGGGGCTAAGCCCCCCCCTGGACCAGTGAAATCTATTGATTTCAGGGGGTTTTCATGCCCCAACGGTTGCTGAGCCCCCCTGGAAAAAAATTTAAGCCCCCCCTGGACAAATTCCTGAATACGCTCCTGCCTGTACATAATTCTTACATTAAAATTAAAGCCTTAGATAAATTAAAAATCAGTATATCACTATCTTTCTATAAAACCAAAGTTTTATTCTTCCATGCCTGAGGCCGGTGTGCTGACAAAACGTACCTAGGTTGCCATACATTTTAAAATAAAGTATTAGCTCTTTTTCTTTTATTTTAGATACAATGGGCTGAGCGCTACGGCTAGGATAGTTTCAAGAATTTGTTTCTTCATTAGTTTGTGTTGGTGCCAAACTTACTGCCAAGTATAATTATCTGATTTTGTAGTACAGATTTTAATAATGTTATAAAGGTCTGTTAAGAAATCACTAAACTCATTTTTATGACTAGATTCAATTTGATACAAAGTGGAAGGGTAAAAGGTGACTTGCATACAGATGTTAATAAATTTAGCTAATAGTTAAATTTCAAAGTGTACATTTAGAATAAGTCATTAAAGATAAGTTTTTTTAGTATATTAGCCCCAGCAAATATATAGCTCAATACTGTTGAACACAGGAAGTCTATTTCAAGAGGAGAGATAAATGAGGTCGATTAAAAGTCGTCTTGGATTTACTCGGCTTCATATACAAAAATATTGATGTTGATTACTTTTCTGCAGCAATAATTTTCCACGTGACACTTTGCCATGTAACAATTCTTACATACAGGGTGTCCCACGAAACATGACAGTTGGTGAATAGTTTAGAATGTCTTTTTCCATAATTTGTTAAGTTGTTTGATACCAAAGATCATAAAATATTATATGGGAGTCATGCTATATTAAAATTACTTTCAAAGTAAAAGATAATGAAACAAAAGATTTGTTTAACTTAAAATAACGATTTATTAAAAGTCATGTTTCGTGGGACACCCTGTATGTCAAAGTTGCCATGGGACACTTTGTCAGTAAAGCATAGTTGCGGTGCCTCATGTTCATTAGACTATTTAAAGTCATGAATTGAGCCTAAAAGTCGTCTTCCTATTCCCAAGTTTTCTGGTTCTCACTGTACATTTTTTCAAATTAGGAATGGCGTAACATGAATTAAAAAGCTAATAAATGTCACTGAAAAAAACTTTTGTCATCTTAAAAACTTTTTAAAAGAAGTTATTTAGATAATCAAGTAAAATAAAAATGTTTCTGAAAAGTTTCAGCACCTTCAGTTTTATAATTTAGCTTATTTTTTCTTCATATTTCTGTAACATTCCTTATAGTTCAGCAACATGGGACAATTTTGTTAACGTAGTTTAAAAACTTAAGTTCTCAAGTTTTTCATTTTTAATAACATTGATATTTGATAAATATTGAAAATTTCACGAGGGCACCCTTTAAATTGTTATCTGATCAGTGGAAGATATCGTATTGAAAATTTATTAATTTATAACATTTCATCATTTTTAAAACTTTTCTATCGGTACAATATACACAGCCATACGTCAACTATTAAGACTGGGCCGAGTTTTAAGTGTCGCAAGCCCACAAAAATGTCATTAGTAGGGGATCATTTATTTGGCGTAAAGTACCGTTTTGTCTGTATTTGTACTGTACTGCTTGACCCTGGCTAGTTGAAATTCGGCCCGGTACATGAAATAAACCGTACCGTGAGCCCTTGATTTAACCTTGCTAAACCATTGATACATTTGCTGTCGGTATTATGAGATTTTAAACCATTGATACATTTTGCTGTCGGTATTATGAGATTTTAAACTGGACGTGAGCCCTTGATTTAACCTTGCTAAACCATTGATACATTTGCTGTCGGTATTATGAGATTTTAAAGCCGTAAATCAATTATTTTATATTTGTTGTCGGTATTATGAGATTTTAAAGCCATAAATCAATTAGTTTATATTTGTTGTCGGTATTATGAGATTTTAAAGCCATAAATCAATTAGTTTATATTTGTTGTCGGTATTATGAGATTTTAAACCATTGATACATTTGCTGTCGGTATTATGAGATTTTAAAGCCGTTAATCAATTAGTTTCTAGATTTCTAGTTAAAAAAAACTTTTTTGGAAAAATCTTAACAGATTTTCAACGCAATTGTCGAATTATTTTTTCCTTTAAATACAAAATATCGCTAAGAATTTGGCAAGATGCAACTTAATTATCACAAAAAGTGCCTTAATTATCACTTATTAGAAATATTCCAGAAAAGTTAGAGAACAATGAAAAGAACGACGACACTAGTTCCAGAGTTTAATTGTTCTTATTGTTTGTAGTTTTTTAGTGAGAAGTGAGGGGACAATCTTGATTTAAATATTTTATTTTATCGTTTAGTTCTTATACATATTTCTTTTAACCACTGCAGTATTTTGAACATATCAAACCTCACAAACTTTTTTCTAACTAATGTTTTTGAACCCACGAAAATGTTATTTATTTTTTTTTAGTTATGTGGCGGAAGACGATCTGAGGAGAGAAGCCGGATACTCAGACGCGGCAATGTGAACTCTATTTTCTGCCACGTCACCTTGATATATTTTGATCTCTTAAATTTAGATTTTTAATTTAGTCAGTTAATAAAGTAAATTATTTAACTTCGGTTGTATTAAATTGAGCGTAGCCAAAGTTATGTCATTTTTTTTTACTAAAATGTATTTTCAACAATAAATTACAGTGTTTTATGTTCATTGGACTATTCAAGCTCATAACTTGAGTCTAAAAGTCGTCTTTCCATTCCAAAGTTTCTGATTCTCATTGTTTTTTTTACATCTAATGATGTTTAACCCTCCCTGTACAATACAGGAATACAAGGTAATCATGACAGACAACAATTCCTGAATTACAATCCACTGTAAGCTCTCTTCTCATAATCTGCATGATTGGCGTGCAAAATTGTATTTTTGTGTGTGTGAATCATATCTGCATATGTAGTCACTTGAATAATATCTGGTACCGGGGTGGTCCCAATAAACATGAAAATTAATTGACAGCAAAAACTTAATTGAAAAACTCTATCTTAAATAGAAATGATGAAGTAAAACCTCAGAAATTATTTTTCATGAAAGAGTTAAATTTAATCCACATAGAAACTTTATTTTTAAAAGAGTAAGTTAAACCTCAGACAAACTTTATTATTAAGAGATATAAAGTTAAACCTCAGACAAACTTTATTATTAAAAGCTATAAAGTTAATTCTGAGACAAACTTTATTATTAGGAGATATAAAGTTAAACCTCAGACAAACTTTATAATTAAGAGAGGTGAAGTTGACCCTATCTTCACCTTTCATCTTTCTCAAAATAAAGTTTGTCTCATAAGACAAACTTTATTTTGAGAAAGATGAAGTTAATTGTCAGACAAAGAGATTAAGTTAACCCTCATAAAAACTTAATCTTGAAAAAGATAAAGTTAAACCACAGACAAATATAATTAACATGGTTAATCATTAGTAAAAAAGAAATCTAAAGAAACGTAAGACAAGAAACTGGCCTAAATTGATCAGATTCCAGATTAGTATCAGATTTTTTATTTCTCCCAGAGCCGAATCTGTAAGAGATAATTTAATCAATTAATCCTCCATTTTGACCGAGTTGGCTTTAACTATTTTTTAGAGAATCTTATTCAAGGAACTAAAAAGTTCTGTAAAAACTACAAAATAAGTTTAGATTAAATATCGAAACCTGTGGCCGAATTTAAAGAATTTGAGCGGCGGTTTAAATTTAAGCCGCGGTTTAAATTTGATTGGTTCACTTTAAAATTGTATCAAATGTTTCAAGATTTAAGCCAGCGCTAAATTTAAACCGGGTTTTGGCGGATTTAAACCGCGGCTCAAATTCTTTAAATTCCATCTCTGGTTTCACAAACTGATGTAAAGTTTCCGACGCACTTAATATGTTGTTTATGTTCATTGTGCAATCCTACATCAGAGGATTGAAATATTAACAAAAAAGATAATTGTTCATCGTCGGTTAAGAGGGTACAATTACATGGAAAAAGTCAATTAGGTTTCTTGAAGATAAAGATCAATAGAAGATCAGGTTTTGTGGTGGTGAGGAATCCACAACTACAGGGTGTCCCACAAAACATGGCAGTAGCAAGACGACTTTGACGTCATCATTAACCTTTAAAATAAATAACTGCAAATATTGTTAACCTAATTTTAGAAACAAAATTCCCGGATATAAAAATTTGCGACCATTTTGGTTTTGTTTAAACATCTGAACAAAATTCTTTATATCTTTAGTAATATTGACAGCCCCAAAAAGGCAGACCAAATTTTGAAAATGCCAGGACTTATGTGATTATTGTTTCAAAAATCATACATGTAAAAGTAGGCTGGCAATAAAGTGCATGTAGAACATATTTGCCAAGATGAAAGACGACCTTTAGGTCGCCTTGCTACTCTCATGATTCTTGGGACACTGCATAGGATAGACCTCAAATCACGTCGGACTCATTCGAGATTACAAATAATTCACCATTACAAAACTCCCATTGTGTTTTAAGAGCAAATCTTTTTTAGACTTTTCAGAATTTACGAATTTTCCTCGATTCACCTCTCTTCTTCTCGTCTTTCCAACATTTGTTTAGTTGACATTTTCAATCTTAAAAGTAACTTTAAATATTAAGTAGTAGTCTCCGTTTGTTCGGATGTCCGACAAAAACTCTGGAACCCTTGGGACTGATTTGTCTCAAATTTTGACCGGCAAACTCTTAAGAATGTTCTTATCTTGTTTCCAAAGTTGAGTGGGTCGACTTAGAACTTTGAAAGGGTAAAAACGTCTGAAAGGTCTTAAATAAATCCTATAACATTTCTCAATTGCAATCTCAGTTCAACTACCATACATTGCCGGTCACTCCCTTTGAAACTATATCGAGTGTCCATTTATGTCTTTCATTTAGAAACAGTTCAATCATTCGATGTTGAGTGTTAATAATCTTTGCTAGCAGCGTTTTCTAAACTATCAAGGAGTTTGGACTTGCACCACACCAATAAAGAAAACTTGCGAAACCGTGCAATATTTTTTTTAATAGAGAAAATATAGGGAAAAAGCGAACAAAAATCGATCGTTTTTTTGGTTCGTTTTTGCATATTTTTTTCCTCTCAGTGTCAAAATTTTTGCCAAGTGTAAGGAAAGCAAATGTTATTAAAATATTTTTTTTTTTTTGGTAAAAATTACTTGGATTTTTAATGGAACCTTTAAAAAGGACAAAAACCTAAAATTTTGAAGGCTCGTTGTTTTTTACGACAGCCCTGTATCAGAGGTCCATAAATGATATATAAATAAGTAAAACAGTCACCCATCAATCCGGGTCGCACTGTATACAAGATTAATACTTATTGTGACACTTTACTTTCTTTTATATCTTCCAGAATAAAGATTGATATTTGTAAATACATTTATTGAAATAATTGTTAACTATTTCTTGAGCCTACTGAGTTGTTTGTTCCCTGAGAGGACTAGGTAGGGCGTGGCGAGCTCCCTGGTCTTCTCCTGCTGCTTGGCCAGGGTCTGGAGGGGGGTGTCTACACTTGACATCTTCTGCATCAACTTATCCTCAGCAACCTGCACATAAAATTTTTTTTTTTGGTTCAGTAATTAAAAATAATGATTTTTAAGGCAAAAAACAAAACATTTTTACCAAAAAACACAAGATTTTGAAACCAAAAATTTTAATATTACATCAGCTAAACTGCAAGTTTTTGACACACCAAATAATCTTCAAAATCATCAAACTTATTTTATTAAAAAAAAGCTTTTCTAAGAAAAAATGACATTCTTGCCAACAATATAGGACATAAAAGAAAAGAAAACATTCCAAAAAACGTTAAGACCATTTTAAAAGTCGAATACAATATGCTTATTGAATTTTGAACTTACCTTTCTCTGTCTCTTTTCAGTTTTAATTTTCCCGCTGGATTTACCGTGGAACTTGTGAGACAGGAAACGAAATGCTTCCTTACTTGATAACTTCCTTCCTCCATCATCCAGGTATTCAAGATTTATCTAGAAATTCATTCATTCATTCAATTATTCATCCTATCACTCATACAATCATTCGTTCGTTCGTTCGTTCGTTCGTCCCTCCCAATATACATAACAGAACTGTCCGATATTTTTGAATGTAAAACGATAGCAATTATTACGATCTTCACTCTTCAAGATCAACTCTTCAAGAGCCGTAAAAAAACAAGATCGGTTTAAACTAATATATTTCTTCAACGAATAATCCCTCACCTCTGGTTTATATCCTCTCTTCTCTGTGAATGAAGATGTAGGACCGCTGTAGCTACTTCGGTCACCTCGACGTCGTTTTCGGTCATCTTCCTCATAATCCCTAGTAACATATAGTTTATACACACATTACACAGTGCTTTGGATTTAAATCCCTTATGGGAAATATGAATCTAGTTCCAGATCATGAATCATAAAATCCCCAAACATGCGCGCGTTGCAGTATAAAATAAGAGGATTGTTGCCATTTATGGTTCAGAACTTGAGATTTTAGCCACGCCTTAAAAAGCTGAACATTTTCGACAAATTAACAAGTGATTAAGTTCAATTTTAGGGGACATTTCCAATTTCTATGATAAAAAAGAAAAAAACATTTTCTTAGCTATGTCAAATTTCCAAATTGAAATTTAAGCTCTAATAAGATACTTTGTTTATGTTTTAGTTTTTCACTTAATGAATTAACAATTGTACCTTGTTTTATCCTCTACACTGTACTTCTTGGCAATAAGATCCTGTAACCCTGCTTCCTTCTTCCCCTGCTCCTTCCTGTCCAGGTATCCCATCTGCTCTGCCATCTTTAGGGCAGCTCCCATACCAGTGCTAGCTAGAGCTTCATCATCCAGTATAGTTGGTCTAAACATTATTGAAAATCAAACCAAACCAAACCCAACCGTGTTGAGGGATATCCACTATTCAGGTCCTACTTCCAAATCCATCTATCTACCAAAATTGAAGTGATAATTCTAAGTCATGATCTAAATGGATATTATAGCTTCTATAAGGTTCGGTAAAATTCTATCAATATCTCATCGAATGTAGAAACCATAACCAATGAAATCAAAACTTTCAGAGGGACGGCTAATCCCTCCCCCCTGGGCCTCTATGGTTTTCAGGGGATTTTTAGGTCCCAACAGGTGCTGACCCCCCCCCTCACATAGAAAAATTTTCTGAATAAACCTAATTTTAAAATATTTAAAATGAAACGTCATTCAAGTTTATACCTGGATTTCCCGCCTGAATTTTGTTTGTGTTCTGAATTCATATTTTCATCCTCATCATCAACCTCCATATCATCCTCCATCTTGTCTCCAACCTCCTCCCATCCACCAGTTGTCAGCTTACCGCGAGATGATCTAACCATACAATTATTAAAAAAAACAAATATATTTTTATGATTAATTTAATGACAGGGCTCGCTTTACAATCATCTAAAAATAGGATCCTGAGAGACCCAGACTGACTCCAACGAGGGAGGGAACCCCAGGACGCTATGAGCCTCCGCTATGCAGACACGAGCCTCCCAGATTCGCTAGGACTCAGCTATGCAGTAATGAGCATGCGCAATATATCAAAATGTGCTTGTGTAATTCAGTTTTTTTTTTAAACTTGCGTTTTAAGTTTAAAGTTAAGATTTTTTTTTTACAAATTTTACGACATAGTGGCATGTTTATCAAAGATGAGAAGTATTTATTAATAATTATAAGAGTGCCTAATTCTGACTAAGTGGTACATAAAACTTCAAATATTTTTAACACAAAAAGGAAAATATTTAGAGAAAAAATTTTTAATTGGATTGAATTTGATTTTATATAATCTTTGATTTAAGCGAGACCTGAATCACAGTCCTGAAGCATATCAAAACCCTATTTTGGAGAATGTAACAATAATAAAACCAAGAAACGGAGAAGACGTCACTAAAAATCTTCCACATTGCAATCTCAAAAATCAAGACTGAGGACAAGCTTTAATTTAAAAATTAAAAAAATTAAAATCTGACCTTTTAGCTTTGGGTTCTTTTTTCTTCTCCGCAATGAGACTGTGTTCAAAGTCTAGGAGTTCTGTGGAGACTCCTTCACCCAAACCAGAGGTTTCAAAAGTTACAACCTCGCCCAGGTTTCGGCAAAACTCCTTAACAATAAAAAATCAACAAATTGATTAATTGTAACAATCTGAGTAAAAAGTAGATTTTGATGTATTTTTTACATGATCAGTCCGTTAAAGCTAGCTAGCTCTAATCGTTAAATTATTTCAATCTAATGAGATTAATGCGTCATTTAATCTCTGCTTTCTTAAACAAATTAGACAATATCAGTTTACTACATATATAAATTAAGATTAAATTAATAAAAACCAAGTGATCAAACAATAATCAAGCCATTGAATGATTTCCAATATGAAAAATAAGAAAGGCTGTTTTTCTTTGGAAACTTATGTTCCAGAATGAAGATCCTCGCATGCAAGAGGGTTTACTGACTGCAGGAGTTGAGGATCCATGGGTGCAGGAGTTGAGGATCCATGGGTGCAGGAGTTGAGGATCCATGGGTGCAGGAGTTGAGGATCCATGGGTGTAGGAGATGAGGATCCATGGGTGCAGGAGATGAGGATCCATGGGTGCAGGAGTTGAGGATCCATGAGTGCAGGAGTTGAGGATCCATGGGTGCCGGAGTTGAGGATCCATGAGTGCAGGAGTTGAGGATCCATGGGTGCAGGAGTTGAGGATCCATGGGTGCAGGAGTTGAGGATCCATGGGTGCAGGAGATGAGGATCCATGGGTGCCGGAGTTGAGGATCCATGGGTGCAGGAGATGAGGATCCATGGGTGCAGGAGTTGAGGATCCATGGGTGCAGGAGATGAGGATCCATGGGTGCAGGAGTTGAGGATCCATGGGTGCAGGAGATGAGGATCCATGGGTGCAAGAAATTAAAGACAATGTAGTCAGCAGTAGGGAAATCTATTACTAGATTTACCCTCAAAGAAAGTATGATCTAAAGCATCACTAGAGCTGGAAATATGAGATTAGGGAACAGAATGAAAAACCAGAAAGATGTCCAGGTCAAGTACTGCCCATGTTGTGAAACTCAGGGTACTAGTGTTCACCTCAATGAAGGTCATGTTATCCTTTTTAGTTGAGGAGTTAAAGCAGAACGAACCAAATTAGAAATAGGTTAATTTTAGAAACAAATGATAGCTTTTGCTAAGAGAATAAATCTACACCCTTAATAAAATAGGAGGGCTTGGGAATGCCANTGTGTTGGGGGGAAGGGAGAGTCCCCCATGTGGCCTAGCACCGGGCGTTATTCATCAATGAACCATAGTGTTGACGGGCATGATGTCTTTCTCCATTCGCGCGTGGTTTTAGGGTTGCCATAATAAAAAAAATAAACCTAGGATTAATCTTGGTGAACATTGGGTAATAGTTGGTAATGTGGCCGCTGCGCCCGGGCCCCTAGCCTGTCCTAGCCGCGGCGCTCGGCCCCCTAGCCAATCCTAGCCGCAGCGCTCGGCTAAGAAAGTTTCTTTACCTAATCTCACCCTAAAATATACTAATTTTGTTGAAAATTGAAGGTCTGTCCTGGCCGCAGCGCTCAGTCTAGGACAGACCCGAACATTGGGTTGGGGTCTACCTGAGTTTGGTCTAGAATAAGATCACTATATTCTCTCTCCTCCTCTGGTTCTCTAGGATCTCGATCGGATATTATACTCGCAGAAATCTCATCCAGGCTGCTCATCCCCTGCAACAATATCAAGCTAAAAATGAACAATGGAATCGAGTTTAAGGATAAACCATTAATTGAATTATCTGAGGCCAAAACTTTAGTTTTGTGAATTAACAGGATTTAAATATTCCTGGAGAATATATTCTGTAATCCTAAACCTTTACTAACAGGAATAACAGAAATTGAAGGATTAGGCATGTTACCCTGAAATTTTAAAAATCGTCAGCAGTGCTTAGGATTTATTAAATTTTGATGCGGATTCAGATCCTGAATCCGCATTGGAAAAAAATGAATCTGCAGATACGGTTCCAGGTCATTTCTTTAAGATTTACTGAATTATGTTTTTAACAAGCAGAATTTTTAAATTTTTGTCTCATTTTTCCGCTTATTTTTATGCTAAAACTTGATAAACCATTTAGAAAAAAGGACATTTTTATAATCTCTTTTTTGAATAGTTCAGATTTGGGGGTTGAGAGTAAAAATGGATATCGAGGTTTAGCTTTGTAGATTAACTCTATTTTGGTAAAATAAATGAACATTAGTGAACTGAAAAATGACTGAGAAACGAATATTTTCAGGGAAATAAATATTTTGAAAAATAAAATAAATATGAACAGGTGAATTGTGAATACGAATAAAAATAATCGAATGGTGATTTGAATTGGTATTCAATGTTCCGTTAAAGTAAATATAAAAACAATGTTTACCTTTTTATTTTTCAGTTTCATAGCTTTGTTTAATCTACTCCTGATGAACCCACCGTCATCCTCCTCTACGCGGACTCCAGTTAGATCTTCAACTATAGGCAGGTCGTCGTAGGTCTGAGGGAGCCGTCCGTCCGGCAGTTCCTCGTCATCGTCGATGATTCGCGCTGCGCGCTTCTTCTTCGCATTCCCGAAATTTGTTGGGAGAAGGGTTTCAGGAGCTGTCATTTTCAACAGATCGTCAGCCTAGAAGAAATTATATAAGAAATAAAGATCTAGCCATCTGAATTCCATGCTTTATACAGAGCTTATCAGACGAAAGGAATAGTCTTGGGTCGTCTCCAAAGGTGTAGTAAAGAAAATTTGCCTGTAGAAATACGGGTGCGGACAATTGGGTAGACGCTCTGTCGCAAATCCATGTTTGTGAGTCAACTGCGGGATGGAAGTTATAAAGTTATATAGATGCGGCGTGCCTCCCCCCCCCCCCTCATGTTGCTCCCAGGATAAGAATATGCGGATCCACGAATCTGGATTAGTGTGGCAAAAACTCAACAAAAAATATTTTTTTGTTCTCAAAACACAAAACCCTGTTCTTTCCTTGGTCAAAAATATTTCAGCATAAAATGAAATGACAAAAGAAAGTTTTTTATGGAAAAAAAGATATTACTTCATGAGCTGGATCCAATTTTCCACAAAACAATCCTTAGCAGTGCCTGTATTATAGCTACCTTGAGAATCTTCTTCCTAATTTTCTTCTTCTTAGATTTAGGTTTCTTGAATGAGGCCATCTCGTCCTCGTTATAGTAATCGGAAGCCAGCCTCAGTTCAGGAGTAACAAGGCTCTGCACACTACCAAGCTTCAACTTCTGTCTGATCTAAACATTTATCAAAGGTAAGAACAAAATTAAATTAAATCAATAAAAAAGTGGGGATTTTCCAACCCGCTTCCTAGTTTCAGATAAAGTTTCAATCAATTATAAATATTAAATAGTTATTGTTTGCATCTTGAAAGGAAAAGATAAATTGTAATTCAAAATGTCTAAATTACGCTGCAATCTTCCCCAATTCACATATGTTCGAACCCTCCATAGTTGATATTTTGGCCATCAGACTAGGTTCCGCAACAAAACTCAAACAAGATTATTTTTAAATATGCTTTATTGACAACAATGATGCTAAATTAAAGTGCACAATAATTTCTCCGATATGTTGTGTTTCAAAATGAGTACAAGATCAAATGGTAATTTGTTACATCACCTATACTCGACAACCCTTCTACTTTCTGACCTACAAACCCACCTATATCAATGTCCGACCTATGACCACTGTTTATTTGGTATTATTTAAGGATAGGTTAGGTTAAAAAAGTTTGTTGGCCGAGCGCGGCGGCTAGAACATGCTAGAAGCCGAGCGGTGCGGCCACATGTATAACTTGCAACTGTTAAACAATAAGCGGATGTCCGATGTATGTAGGTCAAAAGTGTAGTATAGCGGATGTGCGTAGGTCAAAAGATACAACATTGATAGAATACCTTAGCGAGCTCCCTAGCCTTGTTCTCCTCTTCACTAAACTTTCCAGAACTTTCCAGTGTAAAGGATTCCTTCTTAGCTCCGTCTATCTCCTCGTTGTACTGATACAGGATACCCTTACGCGTCACCTCGCCTGGATATTAATATTCTTACAGAGGGTATATATCTCGGAAGATATTGGGAACTAAAATGCAAAATTGGATATCAACTGACAGTTCCCCCCCCCCCCCTTCTTATATAAGACATAAGACATAAGACATATTTACTTTTAGCATAAAGATTCTTTAAAAAAATTATTTTTGAAGAAGAAAAAGAAAAATTTGTTAGAAAATATAAATATAAACCTAGGAGTCCCGTCTTGAAGATCTTTCTTAGAATTAATAAATATCTCCCAAAAATGTTTCATTTAAAACCTGTTCATAATGTGTTTTTTTTTTTTTACATATATGGAAACCCTATAACCGTATTACGGGCTGTAAAATACCCCAAAGCTATTAGATTGTACAATCACGCAACCAATTATTAAGAATGGTCAATTACTTAGACGTTCTACCATAGGTCGAACCATAGTCACACTATGGTTACGCTTTCCCAGAGCAGTGAAGATAGATAAATACGACCTTTAGTTGTACCTATGGTATCATGAATAAGAAATTGGCCAGAAGTATGGTACAAGTAATCAAAAAAAGTATAAGTGACGAAAACAATTTTTTTTGTAAATATTTGGGGAAAAAACAGAACGCAATCGAACCACAGAAAAAGAAAATTTTGATAATGATATAACCTGTGAGTTCATCGACCTCATCCTGATCATAAGCCTGGTATCCAGCATGGGACTTGATGTTCTCCAGGTTCTTCTTAGTTCTCTCAGTATCCATGATGTTTACGTTCACCAGCACATCCTCATACTTCTCATCTAGAATCAATCAATCATTCAAGCAGTCAATCAAATCAACTAACGATAAAATCAGACAATTAAAAATTCAATCAATGATAAAATCAATGAATGATATAATCAATCAATCCATCATAAAATAAATAAATCAATAAATCAATTGATCATAATTAAATAAAATTTTAAATTGATTGCAAAACTAGTGAAGTATTTATAGCGTTTCATAATATCTTCATAATTAGTTTGTCTTGACATCTTACAAGGACTAATTTCTCCAATCCAGGTATAAATCCTAAGGGTTTCTGGATCCACAATTTACTCCCATGGTTAGGGTTCATGTAAATGTTTCACCTTGGATCCCATTACTTTATAAATCCCTTTATAATCTCTCTTTAGTAATGAGTAAAGTATTGTCATCGTTTAGACTTTCATTGATAAGGTAAATCTGTTCAATGTCAGTCTTGGTAAAATCAGCTTTTTTATTAGATTCTGGAAAACCCACGTTCCGCTTGGGAAAGTAAACCGTAAATAAATATTACTTTCAGTTTTTTTTGATTCTGAAAACAAAGATTCGTTGTGTCAAATGAGGAAATCTAGAAGAATTAAAATTTTTTATTAGGACAACTTCTTCCACGCTACTTCCACGCTACTTCCTGTATAAATCGAAAATAATAATACCTAGGATATCCTGGTCCTTGAGAGTAAGTATGGTTGTATTTTCTCCGAAATGTTCAGTACTATGCTCTACTCGGAGTCCCCTCAAATCACGAGCTGTATATCTAAATATTATCAGTGTTAATAATGATGATAATAGCTAAAACATCTTAAAGGAAACCCGACATGGAACAAATGGGGAATCAAAAAATCATAACGAAACATTACTTTTGAATTTTAACGAGTCATACTTGCGTTAGACTTTAAAACCTATTAAAATCGACTTACTTAGATCCCTGATCCTGTTTGAGTTTCTCAGTAACAAGTTCACCGACACCAAACTCATCATCAAGCTCAAGCAGTTCTTTAGCTCTCTTGTCAGCTTCTTCTTTAGCCTAGATAATATCAATCAACCAATATTCATCTAATCATACAATCCTACAATCATGAAATCAAGCATTCAAGGCGCAACAACCCAGCCAACCGACCGAACAAACCAATCCCCTTATCATGCAACCATCTAACCAATTAATCAACAGAACAACCAAATGAACAACAATCCTACCAACCACATCAAATATGACCAAATCTCTACCTGAAGTTTACTTTTCTGTTTCTGAACCCATTTTGCCGTATCATCATCAGAATCTGAATCTGCCAGTCCCCTCACAGCAGCTAGTTTACTTTCTAAAGAAAAAAATGATATTTAAAATTAAAATTTTTAAACTATTAAAGAATGCATAATTATCTTTTATTCAATTCAAGTATTTAGGTCTCGGTGTAATCCACCCCTCCCCCCCCCAAAAAAAAAAGAAAGAAAAGGGTATTATATTTACTAACCTATGCTTCGTTTTTCCTTCTTCAAGGCTAGTTTCTCTCTTAACTTCTCACTTTTAGCCTTCTCCCCCCAATGGTCTGCGGGTAGATGCCGGGTTTTATCTCTATCTCCAGGTATCAAGGTTCCCGCCTTGGTTCCATCATCATCCTCCTCCGCATCCTCGGGATTATATTTATCCGACACGTTCAGAGGTTTTAGTCCTAACTTCTCACGCAGCTTGTTCGTCTCCTCGATAGAGAGGGAGATAACCTCCTTGTTCCCGACATTGGTGTCCTCCTCCTCCTCCCCTTCGTATTTCTTCTCCTCCTCCCGTCTATACCGTCCTCGATCTTTATCCTCTCGTCCGTCTTTCCCGTCTCGTCGGTCCCGACGCTCCCGTGATCTGAAACGAACTGATTACAACAGAATCATTTAACTCTTGGTTGTAACCTTTTCTATTAACTAATTTAAAGATATTGATTTATTGCAACATAACTGACGGGGTCACGGTTTTTAATACTTTGAGACGGGGCAAAACATTTCTCAGGGATAATATTTTAAGCATTAACCTTTATCATAAACTAAAACCCCTTTTCAATTTCCTTTTCCACAAAACAAAATTCTAAAAAAAAATATAATTTGAAAAAAAAAATGAATTCCACATCGGAAAAGATTTCGGGTTTAAAATAATTCTCAAAATTACTTCAAAAAAGTTAATACAAGAATTCAATACCTTTAAGTCAATTTAAAAGATTTAAAATAAAAAAATCAACCCACCTTGATCTACGATTCCTAGACCTAGATCTTGTCCTGGACCGTTTCTTTTTACTCCGTCTTTCTCCTCTCTTTTCTCGATCTCGTTCTCTTTCCTTCTCCACATCCTTCTTCTCCTTCTCTCCTTCTCTCTTATACTCCCTTCTCTTCTCCTCCATCTCTTCATCACTTCCCTCGCTGTCATATCTGGCTATACCAGGTAATTTCGCGGAGACGGGAGGTGTGGCAGATCTATCCTTTTTCCCCGGCGTATCTCCGCCTTCTCCGCCGGTGTCTCCAGCACTACCGCCGGAACTTCTGCGCCGCCTTTTCTTCTCCTTCCGATGCTTTTTACTTTTCTTTTTCTCGCGTGATCTAAACAAGAAATATTTTGTGAATGGACAAAAAAGATAACGTAAACTTCCTCCGTTCAAAAAGTTACAATTTCATCACGCCTGATTGACATTCTGAGCATTCTTTATCAGATAACAATATGAAATGATTGTTTTTCTATACAACTAAATTTTAAATTCGCGGAAAAAACTAATATCTTTATTGTTCAGACTACGGTTAAAAGGCAGTACTTTAAATCGGACGTGTTACTCTTTAAATATAGGATCAATTAGCATGTAATATTAATTCGACACGCGGACAGACCAATTAAGTAAAATTTGTTTATAACAATTTTAATTAAATAGATCTTTACATTTTCGCTGAAAATAAAAATAAACGGCGTCAGTGACTGTCAGCATAATTTCTAGTGACCCTGCGGCCTCCATGTCAATGTCCGATCAGCAAAGGTACCCTTATTTAAGCGTTGTCTGATCAAGCATAAATAATATGTAAATGTTAATGATTCATTAAAAGCTCTGTCTGATCATGAATTAGATATCCATGTTTTGAACCGGTTTATTTTACTTGTAGTTTCTCTGCTTAAGTAACTTGCACAATTCTTGCTATGGTGATACCATCGGAATTAAATACTTTAGAGCAGGAAAAACGACGTTAACTGCAATTTTATCAGACAAAGGTTTCAAGAGTACCATATCGGACGTTAACATCTTTCCATGGATGGTCACTTAAGAAACACTTTTAGTCCCTTTAAATAATTGTGTGTACACTGTACCTGGATCTTTGTCTGGACTTCTTTTTGTCTTTCTTCTCCTCCTCCAGCTCTGTATCGGAGTCTATCCGTCCCGGCATTCTATCTAAAACAGGTAGCTGTGTCACATTTATACATAGAAAAAAATATGAAGGCTTTTATAAACCTCGTGACGATATATTACATGTTGGAAGGGATTTCAATAAAATTTAGTTATGATCTTATTTAGGTCCCTAATGAACATTGAAGAAAATTTACATTTATGAATATATATTGTCCATTTCCTCCTTCCTCGTACAAACAAAGATAAATATTGTTTATGTTGGGGGCAGGAGTTTGTTTGCTCCTGTAAGGAGGAAGAACTCTATCTTCTCCTGCCAGTGCCTGATATCCTTGCTGTAGGTACACCACAAGGATCCGTGGTGGGGCTCGGCAGAGATACAACGCTTCTTCACATCCTCCTAAACAATAAAACAACAATAATAATAATAAAAAAATTAATAATAATACTTTAAATTCAGGGTGCTTCCGCGTCCTATTTTTTACTTTCTTATTTGTTTGTTTACTATAGGGCTCATTTATCTTCATTATTTTCTGCTTTGTGATATGCGGAGTTAGCTCATAATAATTTTGAGAAGACGCGAACCACTCTTGAGGCAAGCTATGTCCTGACTAAAATTATGAAAACTTTGAAACCAACTAAGAAAGAAAAATAGACAAATATAAAATTAGCTTATGTAAGTATAAGACAATCTTTTAGTATTCTGTTGATAAATAAAGATGTCACAGACTAATATCAGTCTAAGTGTTTGAGCTAATTTAAGCATTTTTTTTTTGGGGGGGGGGGCTCCGCACCCGTAAACATGAAATAAATTTACATGAAAAACCAACCTGCTGCTCTGGGGTTCCGTGAAGTAGTTCAAATTTATAATAATGAATCCAGGCATCTCCGAAATCTGGTTCAAGCTTTACTGTTCGCGCAAACCAATCCCGACATTTCTAAATATTTATCATTTATAATTAAATCAATAATATAAAGTCTTTATTGGACTTCACTGTTAATATTTAAGTCACTCGAAAAACCCGTCTAAATAATGGGAGGTTCTCACAATGATAAAAGAGCAGAAGTTAATTATTCAAAACTAAAAATCCTCAAAAAAATTTGTTAAAATCGACGAAAAATTTCTAAAAATCCACCAACTTCATCTGAATGATCATTCTTTCTCTAACCTTCGAACCAAATTGAAGTGAAAACCTTATAGCAAAAAATGGGAAATTTTATCAAAGGAAAGGCTTCTGCTGACCAAAGCAGCTCCAATAAGAAAATACAACCAGCTCAGAAAGTCTTAGAAGATCTGCAGGAGAGCTTCTCTGAAAGCCTAGAATGCACTGCCGAGGGATTGGAAACCGCTGCCAGGAATATGAAAAGGAGCACAAAAGGTATAAAAAAAAAGACAACAATACGATTACAAGCAGCTCAGAAAGCTTTAAGTGATCTGCAGGAGAGTTTCTCGGAGAGCCTAGAAAACACTGCCGATGGATTGGAAACCAATGCCAAGAATATTCGAATCAGTGTTAAAAGTCTGAAAAAGAGGACTACTAGGAAAAGAAAACCAACTCAAAGAGCTTTAAAAGATCTGCAGGACACTGCCAATGGATTGGAAACCAATGCCAAGAATATGCAAACTAGCGTCATGAGTCTGAAAAGGAGAACCAATAAAACAATAAAAGCAGCCCAGAAAGCTTTAAATGATTTGCAGGATAGCGTCTCTGAGAGCCTGGAAAACACTGCCGATGGATTGAAATCAAATGCCAAGAATATACAAACCAACATTACGAGTCTGAAAAGGAGCACCACTAAGAAATTACAACCAGCTCAAAAAGCTTTAAAAGATCTGCAGGAGAGCGTCTCTGAGAGCCTGGAAAACACTGCAGATGGATTGGAAACAAATGCCAAGAATATCCGAACCAGCGTTAAGAGTCTGAAAGAGAGCACCACTAAAACCCTAGAACAAGCACAGAAAAGTTTAGAAAATCTTCCGGAGAGTATTTCAGATAGCTTTGAAAGCACTGCCGAGAGCATTCAACGCGGAATTGAAAGTATGAATAAGAAAACTAGGTCCCAGTTCTCTACGAAACGAACCATGCCAAAAGAAGAGAATGAAGAAGAAGAGAAGAAGGCAAAAAAGCAGAAAAAATTTGAATAATTTAAGTGTCTTGAAAGTTGATATTTAGTTGAAAAGAAATTTATTTTCGTAAAATAAATTTTAAAATGATGTTTTTTAGTTTTTATCTCCGATCACTACTCATGTTCCCTTGACCAGTTTGCCTCACATTTGAATTCAGGAACCCGGAGCCCGCGATTTAAAAAACTCAGGAAAATACAGCTCGGGTCTTAAATCTCGGCCTTTAGGGCTTGAGCTTTCGGATTCAAGCTGCATCATATTTTCTACAGAGTTGAGTTCAAAAAGCCGGTTTAATATTCTATTTGGCGTATTTTCATGGCAGGAATTGGCGCAGTCCAGGTTTTTATAACAAGACGCAACATTGAGCCTTATTCTCCACTAAAACCAACCAATGTCGGTTTTATTTTTATTGGGCCTTAGTCTTTAAATCGAGCCGAAGATCTTGCAGCTGTCAATCACGCGACACAAGCTGTCGTCAGAGTTGGGTCGTAGATTGAGCCTTGAAGTCGGATTTAAGGAATTACGACTCGAGCCGAAGTTTTTAAATCGCGGGTTCAGTATTCTTGAAGGTTAATGAAATTTTTACGAGAAAAATTGAGAAAAATTAAAGAAGGGGAATGAAAAAAGAAAAAGGAGTTCAAATATTAGACGTAATTTCCAATCACAGAATGACATGACTGATTCACAAAAGGTTTGACTGATCAAGCTTAAATTAGATTTCCATATCCATGTTAAATATTTCAAGAGTATTAATGATTTACCTGAAGTTTACGTTCTGACCAAAAGAGTTTTGAAACTGCTAACAGTACTGCAGGGTCGTGCTCGCAATTCTGTAACAAAGAAGATTTTTTTTTTTACTTTGTCTGGATAAGGTTAAAATCTCTTAGAAAACAAAACATTATGTCAAAGCTTTGTATATTGAAGTTACCATGCTTGTATGGTATGAACCTATTCAAAAAATAATGATACTAATGAAAAGATCAGAACAAGATATGCCAGGGTAAGAACCTCCATATCTTAGTAAATAAAATCATAGCAGCTTCTCAAATTCATTGCTGCTCGGGCTAAGTATTATTTTACATTCCCTTCAGAAGCTGTAATATTCTTTTTGGAAATAGAATCTATGTTGAGGATTTAACTATTGAGAGGTTTGGATACATCCACTACATCCATTAGAAGTCGGAACCATTTAGAATACATTTTTCAACAAATATGTCAAGGTAAACCCTCCTTATATTTTTGGCAACCTACCGTAAACATACTATTCCAAGTGAAGTCGGTTAAGATAGATAGATACTATGATAAACAATAGCTAAGCAAACAAATCACACACGAAGCAAACCAACAAACCACACATCCATACAATATTCAAATGACGCGAATTTAACCAAAATAATCTTGAGGGGCCGGGGTCAATGGCACCTTTACAGAGATATACTACGGTTTCAGTATAGGTTATTGACCTAAGCTTTGTGTCTGCTTTATTTAAACAAAATAATCGTAAAAATAGAAAAATCATCCATCAATTCTCTTTTTTGGGTCTTACCTTGAGGGCATCCACTGATTTCGTTTTTCTTTCTGGCCTTGGTGCCATAAATATAGCTTCGGACCAGAGAATACCGGCACTTGGGCACTCCTGAAGTGCTCGCGCCAGCACTGCCTTCGCTATATCATGCATACCTGAATTTTTCCATAATTGTAATCAATCTATTTATCTATATTTGTAATTATCTATGTTTAAGATTTAAAAGATTAAATCTATAACGGCCCTTAATATTTACTTTCTTACTTTTTTATTCATTTATTTTAATTTTTTAATTCAATAATTAATTTTTTCATTTATCTATTTATCAGTTTTTTTATTTACTTTTATATAAATTTATGTTCATCAATCTATTTGACATATTTATTTATTTATAATTTAGCTTAATAACAGTTGATGAAAAATAAAAAATAATAAAAACATATAATGAATGATTTTACCTGTGCTGGATTCAATCCGGATGGATTTAAGCCAAAGTTCAGCGTTCTTAGGATTCCTCAGTCTTCCTTTCTCTACAACTGATCTAGCCTAGTAATTAAGAATCATTATTTTCATTGTCAGGGTTATTTAAGGAAAAAAATTATTACTGTGTGACTAAGTAACGTTACTGAGTATGAAAAAACGCAATTTTTATCCCAAAAAGGTAGGAATTGCAAGAAGGGGTTTTTGCTTCATTTTGTTAATTTATTGGCTCCAAGGATCAGAATTAATGCTTTAAGGTTTTACCAAAAAAACTTAGTTGCCCTACTCATCTTCAACTTGATCCGGCCACACGGTGTGGTTTAACGACTTTAAGCTATGTATCATATCACATTGCCACAGCTTAGAATTCTTAAAATTTACCTTAGTTGTATTCTTGAGAGAGAGTTCTAGGTCAGCTAGGAGTATCCAGAGTGGTATAGACTCCGGACACTTCTTAGTCCCCTCCTGATAGGTAGATCTAGCCTCGTCTATCCGGTTCATTTCGTGCTCAAGCTGACCCTTCATCATCCACAGCTTGTCAGCTTCAGGAAACTGTTTTAATCCTTCACAAACCAAACTGTGCGCTTCAATCTTATTATCTAGGGCCCATTCAAGCTTTGCGGATTTCATGAACACACGGGACGTGGGGGCAGACTCTCGCGCACGTCCCAGAAGCTTACGCGCACGTGCGTACTCGTTGTTCTCTGATTCTAGTTTGATCGCAGCTAACCAGATTTCCTCAGAGTTAGGATTTGCTTTGAAGGCCAGAGAAAGAATAGATCTAAAATAGAGTTACAAATTTTGGTACAATATTTTGTGACTCTGTATTCAGAAAAAAAGATAATTAAAAAAAGGACATTTTACTGTTTTCGAAGCCGTCTATTGACTGGCCTACCCACCATTTAAGCGTTGGCGATTCACAACGGTACCCAGTAGCCCTCCATAAAATTAATAATGTGGAAGATATTGTCGTTTTTAATTTTGATGGATTTTTTTATTTCATTATTATAAATAACAGCCACGTAAAATAGTATTTCGAAACGGAAAATAGGGATAACTCCATCAATTTATATCAGACAAAGGATTGAAGGTGACAATTGTGAATTGGACATGCGCCCCTCTATAATGGAGTCGGCTGAAATTAGGTTTACAGTCAATTACCTGGCAGCTGGAACGTCTCCCGCCATCCATTTAGATTTAGCTCCCATCAACCAAAGAACCTCCGCCGTAGGACAATGTGATACCGCCTTCTGCAATAAGGTCTCTAGACTGTCCCTTGTCCCGTGCGCCTTCTCAAAGTACGCCGCCGCCAACCAGATCGTCTTCTTTGAGGGAAATATGGAGAGCGCGTGCGCGTAAATTGCTCGAGCACACTCGTGAGCACCCTGCTTAGTGCACGCTTCAGCATCCTCCATCCAGGTATGTTTTCTATCCTCTTCATCTACGCCATGTCCAACCACATGTCTTAAATAGATATTAAAATGTTATTTATTTTGCTGAATCATTCTGCCTAAACCAAAAGCTTGTGTGGGTTCAGAACACACACTTTAAAAGTTTAAAGTTCGAGAGGAATTTTAACTTTGAAAGTTTTCATCGATAAAATGACTATAATTTAATTTCCGCTACACCTATGTCTTCATGCGATGACATGCGTCACGACACCGACACCGACACCGACACCGACACCGACACCGACACCGACACCGACACCAACCTGATAAGGGATTGGCAGGTTAAGATGCTTCCTCCAATCTCTGCTCCTACAGCCTCCTTCATCCACATCTCCTTGTTGATTTCAACACCGTTGCTCGTCAAGCTGGAGATAGCACGGCCTATAATATTGGATCGGTTAAAAAAATATTTTCAAAAAAACATGAAAATTATTTTATAACTGATCAACTAAAACCATATTTTCTGACTTGGTTTTACATGGTTGACAAAATTACGTTTTTACATTCAAAATATAAATTTTCACAATCATTGTCGATTTTCTTTCTTTTTAACATAAAAAGTTTTTGTTTTTACCGATGATTTTATCAATCATCTTCTCGTTTCCATTTGCCTCTTCTAGTTTTGCAGCAGTGATCCAGATCTGACGATCTGTAGGGATATGATCTCTAGCCTTGTTCAGGACACGCCGAGCATTCTCATAGTTCTCCAACCTAAACCAAATTAGGATTTGAATGCATGTCAGCGTATTTCGCAGGGTCAATACATTCAAATCCATTTACAACATTTAAGATGGTTCTTTTTTCTCCCTAATTTGGAGTGGAAGGACATTCAACTGCCCCATCGATCTGACATCTCATTAACCCAGAGAAATTTTAGATTTTTTAAAAATGCACTTTTTTCGTAATTATTACACAAAATGTCCGAATTATATATATATCTGGAATAAAAACTACTATTAGTAATGATAAAAAGGAGCGCGAAGCACCCTGGCCTTGTTTAATATGCAAACTTTAAGTTTACCTGGCCAATGCAATCCATAGTTCTGTACTAGTAGGACAGCATTCAACTGCTCTATTCAGTAGAATCTTCGCATCATAAGGCTCCTAGCAGTTCAAGTTAAATACATACAATAGTGCCTTTGTAGACATAAAGCCTATATCTTTCATGATCCAGAAAAAAAACAGCCAATTTCGAAAATCAACAACCCCTCTCCAGATAAAGTAAATCATTTTTAAATTTCAATATTCTTCCGTAATATTTGAATCCCTATACCCAGAACGTTTAAATTTTATGGAATTTCCTGCTAGCTGTGACCAAACCCACAGCCCGAAACTAAACCAAGGCTCATAAAAGGCAATCTTGTAGATTTCAATATTTTTGTCAACAAAATTTGTCAACTTCATAAGGTTGATCTAATAATTTATTTCTATTTTCTTTTTCTACAAAATTGTTAAGATCCCAAAAGGAAACTCGCGCGCGCATTTTGTTAAAACTACGCATAATATTCTTGACAAGAACATACCTCCAACTCTACTGCTGCCTTCCACAACCTGACGGAGTTAGGGATAGATTCCAGAGCTTTCCTGAATACTCGTCGTTTATCTCTCACTTCCACCTCAAGTTCAGCAGCTTTTATCCAGATACGGACATATTGGGAGTTCTGGGCAACAGCCAGCTTTACCACCTAGAGAATATCATTTAGAAAAATAAAAATTATGACAAAATATCAGGAATATTTTCAGAGAATATGCATAGAAATATTAATTTAATGTTTCTGGCTTAAAATGATGACAGAAAAAAGTCTGCAAAATATTTTTAGACAAAAAATGTCAGTATTGACAAAGAAGGGGACTTCCATGATAATCAACAGACGATTTAAAAGATCTAAAAGTAACAAAATAGAATAAAAAGAATTTATCCTCCTTTACCTTTTTAGCCTCCTCTGGAGGTTGCAGTCTAACTGCCTCCAACCACATATCCTCAGATTTGGGGCAAACCTCGCAACCTTCAAAAATAACGAATTAAAGAAAAACTTAAAACAAAATTTGAATGTATATTCATGATTTTTATAGACATTAGGTAGATTTCAAGCCGTAAAGGGCGAAGTTGAAACTTAAGCGACTCAATATAAATCCGCGGTGTAAACTATTATGGTTGAGATTGTGTGCTGTGTAAGATGCAGTGTAGAACGGAATGGGGGCGTGAGTCGTTTAAATTTTTCTACTTATGCCTAATTTTTACGCCGAAAGGGGAGGGGAGGTTCCGGGGGTTACCGTCTAGCTTATAAAGACTACCAGCGGCTAAGGTTGAACAAGGGGGAAAATTTTTAGTTTTGGACTCATTACCTTATTGCGTCGTAGCATCTAAATTCCGTCAACCTTACCTTTCATGATCAGATTTCGAGCGGCCTGAACCTTGCCAGTGACCTCTTCCAACCTCGCGGAGGCAATCCAGGCAGGAGGATGATGAGGATTCGTCTCACGAACAGATTTAAGGAGAAGACGCGCCTTCTTGACGTCGTTGATATCTCCGCCGTGTGTTGGAATCATGGACTGCAGGTCGGTTAAATATCCCTTAGGATCCACGACAGTTTGTCCAGAAACGCTAGAAAACATTAAAAAAATGACTTTTAAGGTTCGGGTTTATTTTGAAATAATACAAATATACCATTGGATTATTTGTAAATAAAATTGTTCTAGTTTCGAATATAATTTACTTAATCTAATTCTTTTAACCTTTTAAACAGATTAAGAGCAATTCGGGTAAGACTTAACTTTTAAAGGTAGAAACTGTTGTGTGAAGCATTGTTAATCTTGAACGAGAGTCTCAACATCCAATTTGGTTACTTTTAAATTTTAGGATACATGTTTGATCCCTCAAGGGACTAGCACCACGGAATATCGAAGGCCTGAATTAAATTAATCCGAGATTCACGATTCTGATAATTAGAAATATGAATTTAATAATTACCTGTCACTGGATTGTTTAAGTTTTAAGTCCATCAACGTGTTTCTAGCCTGGCCTATTTTCCTTAAATCCAGGTCACCAGTTGGGGTCAACATACCTACAGTAATTTTAAAGGATATTTCACGTCTAGATTTATGGTCAAAGGGAATGCTAACGCAATTGTAGGGGAAATTACGATTAACCACTCGTTTCTCTTTTTAAGTTTAAATTAATAGGAATATCTTTTTTCACAGAAAATTTACAATCTCCTGAATAAACTTCAAAAAATCGATAGGAGTACTTGCAAGCTTTAAATCACCTTGATAAAGAAATTTGAAAACTGTGAATTAAAATTCAGCTATTACATTTTTTCCCAAATAAAATTGTCAAAGAAATTAAATTTTTCAAATTATGTTTGTATTGTTTTCTGTTTACCTATATTTGTCATGGTTCCAGGTATAACTGTTGATATTCCCGGCAGCATACTGGCAACTCCACTCGTTGGATCTAAACTACTTGACATCCCACCTCCACCTTTAATATTGGAATTAGAATAATATTGGCAACTCCACTTGTTGGATCTAAACTACTTGACATCCCCCCTCCACCTTTAATATTGGAATTATAACAATACTGGCAACTCCACTAGTTGGATCTAAACTACTTGACATCCCACCTCCACCTTTAATATTGGAATTATAACAATACTAGCAACTCCACTTGTTGGATCTAAACTACTTGACATCCCACCTCCACCTTTAATATTGGAATTATAACAATACTAGCAACTCCACTTGTTGGATCTAAACTACTTGACATCCCACCTCCACATTAAATATTGGCATTAGAACAATACTGGCAACTCCACTTAACCGCAAGGTTATGTGAGACAGGTTACTATAAATCTTAATCTTTTTAACATTTAACAATAATGTGTGAACACTTTTTTCGAGTTTCATATTAAACTTTAGAAATTACTTATTTAAAAAATGTATATTTTCATTATTTTAAAAAAATTCCACAGTAATGTCAAAGTTGCTCAGTCCCCGTTTGTTCTGAATATTTTTTTTTATCGATTTAATTAGGTCAATCAGATTAGTTAAATAAAATTGTCTGCTTCATGAGATAGCAGCGCAGTATTCTAAAATTCTAAAAAATCAAAAGCTACTCCGAACGTAACCCAATGCAGAATTTAAGCTCCTACCTAGACCGTTAGAGAGAATTCTGTCAGATATCGGAGTATACTTCTCTCTGAGTCCAGCCAACCTTTTCTTCCGGTTTCTGGAGTCTCCTACATCCGGTATACTCTGCCATTCCTCAGCAGACACCTTAATATATCTAATAAAGTCAATTATCTTTGCTTTGAGAATCATGTTAGTAGTTTGAGCTTTGTCAAAGGTTTGAAAGATTATCAGTAATCATTTTCTGATCCAGAGCCCGAATTTAAAGAATTTGATTCGCGGCTTAAATCCGCCAAAAACCCGGTTTAAATTAAGCGCCGGCTTAAATCTTGAAACATTTGATACAATTTTAGTGGAACCAACCATATTTAAGCCGCGGCTCAAATTCTTTAAATTCGGCCTTAGAGATCATTAAAATTCAATTTGATTTACAGTTTGAAACCAGTTTGGTTCAGTTCTACGGAAAATTTGAAGAACAAAATCAGTCAGTTTAGGGTAAAAATAAGCCAATTTAAAAAGAAGAATTATAAATTCTGAATAATTCAAAATCTTGATATTGTTAAAAATATCTGCCGATTTCAAAGTTGACTTATTTGAAAACAATAATACTTACATCTGTCAGGTCTCGTTTAAGATCTGAGAATTGTTGCTGAATCTTGGGCCTTTCTTGACGATATTTCTCTATTTCTCGTTTAAATCTGTCCTCTCTGTATTGTTTACGCTTCTCATCCATTCTATCATCTATAGCCTAAAAAACAGAAATATAAAACATGTTTTCTCTCAATTTTTTACCGCCATTGCTATAAAATTGCAAGTTGCGCCTTTAACTAAAGTTGTCGGTGGCATTACAAATAACCATTCAATTTTAATACGACAGGAACGATTCACAACGGTACCTTTGATTCTAAAATTGCAATAATGAGAGAAATCGTCGATTTTAATCGACATTTTCCCGCTTGGGTTGTTTAGTAAAAGTCATTAAGTCGCTTTTGTACAAGAAACACACAGAGCAAGGAACTCATTTTCATTTGATGTGTAGAAAAGCGTGAGTTATTAAAGGAACAGCTGAGAATTCTTTAAAGTACTGTATGAACCAAGTGTACGCTTAAATTATATTATTTTGTATGTACGCTAAAAATTGGAAATAATTTTACCTGATAAATTTCATCTGCCTCTTCGTCATCTTTCTCATAAGGATCATGTTTACTGAACAGAGAACCACCATAGCCAGCAAACTCATCATAATTCATGTCGTTCAAATCAACCTGAACATTTAAGAATTGATATTGAAATCAACCTGAACATTTGAAAGTTGATATCCAAACCAATCTGAACAATTTGATATTTGAATCAACCTGAATATTTGACAGTTGATATTCAAATCAACCTGAATATTTGACAGTTGATATTCAAATCAACCTGAATATTTGAAAGTTGATATTCAAATCAACCTGAATATTTGAAAGTTGATATTCAAATCAACCTGAACTTTTGACAGTTGATATTCAAATCAATCTAAATATTTGATACTTAATATTCAAAATAATCTGAACATTTGACAGTTGTCTAAATAGTAACATAAATTTAATAAAGAAAACTCAATTCAAATAAAACTAGTTATTGCACGATATAGATTGAAACATATATAGCTAATATTTAGCCCGTAACCTAGAATTTTAAATAAATCTATAAACAAGACATTCATATATATATGTTGGGTATAGCCGGCCAAACAGCTGGACCGATTGGGCTTAACTTATTTGTGGAAACTCGTGGATGGCCGGGGAGTGTTAAAGGCTTAAAAAAATCAATTTAAAATTTTTTTCTATAATTTCGAGATGATTAATCGCTTGTATTATTTCTGACCTCGTCTTCATCGTCATCCTTCTTCTTTTTGGGAGGAGCAGCGTGGCGTTCATCAGTTACATCTGTAGCCTCACGAGCAGGTCCAATATCAGATCTAAATACAGATACTTCAGTTTCTTTCCACTCAACAGCTAGGGTTATATATTATGATGAAAAATCATCCGCAAACTCGGCTCTTTTTGATGCTTAATATGAAAAAATGGGGAAAAGACTTGCCAGTTAATATCCATTCTTTCACTCCAGTGCAGCCCCATCCTTGCGTGACTCTAAAATATCATTCTCCCTTCCGTTTCTTTGAGTAATTTAATTAATTTAAGTCAGCAGTAAAGAAAATTTTAAATATTCTACCCCCCCCCCCCTTTCTTAAGAAGGGGACTATATTTAAAACTGTATGACGGAGAGAAAAATCGCCCTAGCGTTTTAAAAACATGTACGCGGGCGTCACCCATAGGAACCATAGTTTTGTTTGCCATTAATTAGATATTAAATACCTGGTAGTGAATCCTGTGGCTCCTCTACCCACACCAGCTACATAACCCAGTGGTGCACCCATACCTAGACAATATACAAATCAATCAATCAATCAATCAATCAATCAATCTCCCAACCAACTAACAACGGACATGGTCATTGATTTAAGAAAATATCACCGACTCAAATGTGGAATCCCATTCCCCAGGCCACCATAGTTTGGAATCCTTTAAGAAATTTTCCTACCTATAAAGTGTTTGCGCTGTTTGTTGACCAACGCTGCGGCCGGAACGTTCGACATTTTATGACTTCTGTATCAGGTCTGAAACGATGACGTAAGAATTTACAAAAACAAACTAGAAAATGCGACAAGTACACGTGGTTTACTGCTTTATGTGGCTAATGCGAAATATCCCGGGAGAATTATATCGATAGGTGTGCTGGTGGTCAGCGTAAAATCCACATAATTTGTGGATCGACAAGCTAAAATGTGCTTTTGTGGACAAAGCTATTTAGTTTATTACGATGCTTAATTAAGGGTGTTACAAGTAAAATGAATTTTATAAAATAATTAAATGCCAAATAAAACAATAAAATGATTTGCACGTATGAATCAGATTAGATAATTTAGTTTACAATTACAAAACTCTTAAATAAATCAACACAATAGTTAATCATTTACAAACAAAGAACAAAAACAATTACTATAAATTATAATACTGCCAATTTGCTTATTTGCAGTACATATAATAAATATGGGGTTACACACTATGAATATGTAACATGGATATAAAATATTGCATAATTTGTTTACTAATCAGAAAACATTCGAACACTTAGTAAGCTCGATCATTTTGTTTATATTTCTCAAACCAGCCGAAACCAATCAACTGTTTAAAAAATGAGTCCAAAAGCGGGAATAAAATTAAATAATCAATTTGGTCAGTCTGTAATTAAAAGATAACGAGTTTTTCAACCAGTAAAGTTAAATGACCAATTAACAGTGGGATAATGAATTACTACTTTTCGGCTGGATAATGAATCTTTCGTTCCAAAAGATAATTACTTACTAATTACTAAAGCAAAGAAGTCATTAATTCCACAAGAGAATTAATCCCCATACACGCAAGATAATGAGTTTAAAGAAAAAAGAGTCATTAATGAAAGTAATTGAGGATCGACTTTGGAACTAAGAAATGGTTATCACAGAAACTAGTCCTAGAAACCATTTAATGAGGATATTAAGCATTTTAACCTCATAATTATGAGCCATTAAGTCATAATAAGCCCCACAATCAAGCCATTAAACCTTGCGATAATGAGTCATTATAACTCTTTATATTGATAATGAGCCATTAACCAATCAAAACCTGAAATAATTTATAACAAAATGGTGGACATTAGTAAAGAATAGTAGGGCACTGGCATCTGAGTGAAATTACATCAATTTCAGGAATATCTGCCCCCCGGCCCCAGCCCCCGCGGGGTAGATTAGATCATCTAGTCCAACCTTGGCCTCCTTTTCCTAGGAGAACTCCTGGTCACACGAACCTCTGCTTCGGCATCTTCTTCAGCACCATCTTCTTCTTGCTCTTCTTCTCCCTCCTCATCTTCCTCTTCTTCTTCCTCCTGTTCAGCAGGATCATCCTCCTGCATTGCGTCAGTCTTCTTGGGATCATTCAGAGCAGACTTTCCACCGTCTGACAAATAAAAATTAAAATACAAATGTTAATTTTTAAAAAATCTTGGTTTAACAAGTAGTGTATTTGCTAGTATGGGAGATAAAATATTTAACAATTATTAAAATACCTATTTGTTTTAAAATTTTTTAAAACTTTTATTTTACCTTTTTTGTCTGCTCCACCGGAGCAGCAGAAGGTGATTATAAGAACTAATGGTAGACCAACAAGAACTACATATACAGCATACAACCAGGGGTTCTTGTTACTGTAGTCAAGCAGCCTGAAATACACAAAAATTTAATAAACTTTAAGGCTTTTCCGCAATCAAATCAAAGTTTCAAGATTAGGCATTTTCAAGATCTACATTTCCAATCGAAAGATATCACATAGAGCTAGCAATTAACGCATTCTAATCTGAATACTTTTTTGAGACTCCCTTTAACATTTTGAGTAAATCATCCCTCAATCAACAAGTTTTATAAACAATTTGATTTCTGAATGAAATATAATAAATTATTGACCTTTTGAACATTCCCCCGGTGGCACTGTCGATCTTGCTGAGCTTAAGATGGAAGGTATCCTCCAGGAACGCATCAGCGAGCACCAAGCTGTCCGTGATCAGCAGGTTGTCGAAGTAGATGCTGTCCGACATCGACCAGAGCTCGATAGCGATGGCTCCGATGGTGCTCATCTTATAGGGTTCCTCATCGTTGAAATATTCAGGGTTGGGAATCTTGTTTGGTTTCCATTTTCCCTTGTAGTTAGGGTTGTTGATCATACTAGGATACCATTTACCTAAATATTATATTCATCAAACGATCAATCATTAAATCTAAAAAGGAAACCGAAATGGAACCTCAAGATCCCCCTCAAGGAGGTACGCCATAGAAGTTATGAGATGTGTTTGTCGATGTTGGAATTATGAAAGTTTCCCTCTCATCTGCGGCTCTCGTAAAACATGAACTTCGCAAGAAGAAAGAACAGATGAAAATTACCTTTTTTCCCTTGAAGAACCTAAAACACAAGGTGTAAAAACGCTCATGTGTGGTCTCTCTTATTTAGATGCTTCCTTGAAAGACTATGATTTGATTAATAAGTTTTTCTTTAAGAAATTCATTCTGGCTTCTTTTTTGTTCCGGGTCTATACCTTTATATTCTGGGGGTTTCAACCTCTTCATTTCGGGTTCTTTACTTACATTTTCCGGGTTATTTACCTTTATATTCCAGGTTCCGAATTCTTATCAGTTTTTTAAAAAGTTATTCACCTTTATATTCTGGGTTTCCTACCCATATGTTCTTGGTTATCTACCTTTACATTCCGGGTTCTCAACCTCTTTAATCCGTTTTTTTTACCTTTATATTCTGGGTTTTCTATACTAGGTCTATTCCAGACTCCACATCCTGGAGCTGAACTACAAGCAGGGTTCTCTATTAACCCCGCCTCCCAGTCTCCATCCATCTCAGTATCCCAGTCAGCAGGTTTCTCGGCCTACAAAATAACACATTGTACTGACTATGGTTAAAACGATTTTCGAATTTTTAGAATCCCCCCCAACTTAATATGTTAGTTTTTAAATCAATAATTATTATAGACTGCCATTAATGAATATCAACGGCAATTGGCAAACTTTAAACTGTTAAAATTTGGTGATGATGATGGACCAAACCTTATACGAGAATTAATTTATTGCAAGATAACCAACTATCCTCTTTTACCTTGCAATACAATTTATAAATTTCTCATCTCAATCTTGAAAAACATACATCAGAATTTATAATGGTAACCATGGATATATAATAGAATGGATATATCATAGTCAAGGTTTGATGTAATTTTTTCGTTGGGGTGTTATGCAGTACGTTAGACATTGGACCCTGGAACTTACAATTTGTCTTTGGTTATCGTAAAGTTAATAGATGTCAAAGGAGTATAGAAAAACATTGTAAGTCTTAAAAACTTGATAAGATTTAGCCTCCTTCTTTGTATTATAAAAATTGTTGGAGATACTAAAGATTTAAACAACCTTGCTGATATTTAATATTTTGAATTTTAAACAAATTTCTCAATATCTTGGCCAATTCTTAAAGTACAAAAACGGCAGACCACATTTTGGAATTCTGAAAGTTTTTAATGCTACCAACTCCTTGAAGAAAATGCTATGATCACAATATTTTAGTTACAGTATCTCATTTCTGCTTACTCCATGGCCCACTATCTACCAAAGTTCTTCTCTAATTTGGACCCTGAACTTCACTTCAAACTTTTTTAAAAGTACAAATTATTTTTATAGAATGAACAATAGCCAGAATAAAAATTTGTTTTAGTAAAATCTAAAATTTGCTATGCAGAGGTTTTAGAAATTTCCTAAAAATATCTAGGGTCCACTGAGATATAACAGCTGCATAGCCCACCGACAAAGTTACATGTACAGTAGCCCGGAATAGTATAGATCGGTAGATAGAAGCATACATATAAGCGGGCCGTGATGGTAACTCTAGGATTTGTCGGAATTAACAAACCAAGAAAATATCAACTAAAGCGCCACTTAAAATTACGTTAACAATCACTTCAAATAGACTCTCGCCCCCCATGAAAAGATACGAACGCCAAATTTACAACGGTGCCCCTAAACCCTTCATTTCATCAATATTGTGGAAGATACTGTCGTTATTCTAGGTTGTATTTAATCCTGAAAATTCATATATGCTTTTCTGCAGTAGAACCCCCCTATAAAAACAACCAGTTTTAAAAATAATAAACATTGATATCTAATTCATACTTGATCAAACAAAAATGTTAAGGGTACCGTTGTGAATCGGGCATTGCCAACTTTGCATGGAGGGTCACTTGAAGTTACACTTGAAGTCCATTAAAGAAGTTTTTTTTAGAGAATTTTTATACCTCAGGATCAGGGATCATATCTGGCTCATCATCTAACCATCCTTCCGGCTTCACAGCACTCTCATCCAGGATCATTCTTGGTGCATCCTCATCCCATTCATCCGGTTTCACAGCTTCAGGGTCAGGAATCTTCTCTCTTTCATCCCAGTCGGACGGTTTTCTAAATTATGAAAAATAAAAATAAACTCATGTTTAAGGAAAATGCTCCCAACCCCGATGCGTTAAAACACGGTTCAGGCAGCAGGGGGTTATGTTTCCTTACAACACATCTACGAAAGGTTTCAGAAAGAATGGGAACCCAAGACGGCGTAGTGATTCTATTCCGCTTTTAATCTCTGTGGAAGTGAATCAAGCTTTGGTCAGCTGTGTCTGTACGAGATATAAACTTTAGAAGAACATTAAGAAGAAGGACTTTTGAACTTAAAAAGACAAAGTGATTTTTGAGGCAATTATTAAAGACCAGTTTATCAATCACCCTATAAATAAAAGCTTAATAAAAAATACCCAACTTGGGTTTCTCAGCAACAAATCCTGTACCACAAACCTCCTTATGTTCTTTGAAAAGGTTACTGAGATGTTTGATAATAACAATAGATATAATATACCTTGATTTTGGCAAAGCATTTGAAAAAGTGCCAAAAGTGAAACTGATAAAGAAATTAGAGGCACACGGAGGTTGAAAGGGAGAAAGCAAAGAGTGGTTTTAAATGGTAAATGATCTGATAGGCAAGAGGTTACTTCAGGTGTTCCACAGTGATCGGACCTGGGACCACTTGCATTCATAGTTTTTATCAATGATATTGACAGCTGCACACATGATTTGTTGATTGTAGCTCTTGAGAATCTGATTGACTGGTACAGCATTCAACACAGCTAAGTGCAAGGTACTCGATGTAGGTAGAAGTAACCATGAACAAGTTTACAGTATGAAAGGAATAGATCTAACAGTTGTAAACCAGGAAACAGACCTAGGAATCATCATTTTAAAAAACCTTAGACCCGGACTTCAATGTAGAGAATCAGTAAAAAAAGCCAAAATTCTTGGACAAATAGGAATGTTTTTTTAAAACAGTACAAACTGAGCTGGGAACTTTTGAATGGTGGATACGGAATTAAGGCTCTTTTTCTTAATCTCCAGATTAACATAATCTTGCAAGATTATCTTAAAAGTGTATGAAAAACGATAAAATTCAAATTAATATTTAATCATCTGAGAAACTGTAGCTGCCAATCAGAGAAAAGCGGGCAACCAATGAGAGAACAGAAATATTTTCATTGTTGAAAATAATTTACGGATGTCCAAGGAGAGAGAAAAAGAGTGGATTAAGGACTAAAATGAAAAGTTTCCACAGTGGATATTCGGATCAAGAAGTCAGGATTAAAGTTAATCCATTCTAAAGTTTTCAGCTCAGTACAAACAGTTTGCAATCCCTGTCTGGTCCCCTTGGACTCAGGGAGACATTGAGCTCATGGGAAAAGTAAAAATTAGAATAGTTAGTATGGTGGCTGGTTTAAAAGGGAGAAGTTACCAATAAAAACTTGAAGAAGAGCTTGGTTTACAAACCCCTGAAACAAGACGAAAAAGATAAGACAAGACACACACTTACAAGATTCTAAAAGTTTTTGATAAGGTTGAGAGCAGTATCTGGTTTGAAACAAATGGAATTGCACCATCAAGACAAAGACAGTCATCTTATCCCCTGAACCTTGTGAGAAAGCCAAATAGAACTGATATCAGAAATAATTTTTTTAAAGCAGATTAGTTGAACCTTGGAACAAACAGATTACCTACAGAACTAAAGAAGAGCAAAACTGTGAAATCTTTCAAGGATGATCTGGACACGATTATTTAAACCAGAAGCAACAACAGACCCATGATGAAACTCCTGCTATAATCCTACTTGGACTTCTAGAGTCTACACAGAAGTATGAAGTATTCCCAATAGCACCCCCTCCCCCTCCATTTTGAAAATCGTTTTACCCACAATGTAGTTTTTCATGTTTAGTTTGATCCTGACTGTTAAAAAAATTAATGTTTAAAGATATTTTTTGAAAATATAAAATCCCCTGTACTGCATTGAGAGGAGATCAAAGCATGAGAATTCAGGAGAATGCCAGCTTTTATTTAAGGGGTGGGACATGCTATAATTGAATTATCAAAAAAAATTGCGCAATTTTTGCAAAAAAATTTGCGGATTTTTAAAAACAATTATCGGATTGTTGAAAATTTCTTTGTGAAAAAATTATAGACTAGGCGAAAAATTCGCTCTATTGTTACTCTAGGCAAAATGTTACCCTAGGCAAAATGTTACCTAGGCAAACTGTTACCTAGACAAAATGTGACTAGGCAAGTTGTAACTAGGCAAAATGTGACTAGGCAAAATGTGACTAGGCAAAATGTGATTAGGCAAATTGTGACTAGGAAAAATGTAGCTGAGCCAAAATTTTGGCCTCTGTTGGTTGTTTGTTTGTAAGAACATCGACTAGCGACTGGTAAGTATTTAGTAGTGTATAGAAAACATGATTTTCCAAGTTAAGGGGTTAACTATTTTTAGTTCAACTTTTTCATCCTTTTCTGTTTAATTTTATTTAATGAACAAGAATTCAATATATAAATAATTTATTTTGTGTATAAAAATTTCAATTCATAAGATTGCTTTGGTATGAACTTTTTCTTGTTAAAAATAAAATATAATTTATAGTATACTTTTATATATTTATATTTATATATTATACTTTATTCTTGTTTTTGTCTTATCATACTGTACCATTTTACCTTTGTGTACGAAATAAATTTATAATAATAATAATTACTTGTCATTAGGATCATCAATCTCTGCTGGAGGGTTAACTGCTGGAGTAAATGAGTCTAGAAGAGTACCATGATTCACAAGAACAGAGTCTACCAGAACCTCAAATGTATTGTCTGGACGGACAATCAGTCTAAACAATAACAATGAAAATTACAATGAAAGACGATGTAAAAGAATGTTAGAATGAAAATGAATATAAATTAAAATGACAATGAATAACAATGAGAAGAACGTATAAAATTTAAATTATAAACAACAATAACAAAAGTAAACATTAAACGAAAAAAGTAAACATTAAACGAAAAAAGTAAAAATAACAATAACCCAAGTATTGATCGCGATCCTTAAAAGTAAACTAAAATATTTTTCAATCCATGTAAATAGGTATAGATTAATGAAAGGTGTTTACCAATCTATGACAAAATTTATTTTATTTTCATTTTCTTGTTGATTAAAGTATGATGGTTAAGATACCAACCTGAAAAGATGTGGTTTTTTATCTTTGAAGACCTCCTCGAATGTAGCCCTGGTTCTCCCTTCCACCTTCTTGCAGTGCTTCTCCTCGAACTCCTTGTTGAGGGGGTTCTGGTGCTGGAAGATAAAATGAAGTTTGGAATCACTCCCACACTTGTCAGGTCCGAACATGATTGAGTAGGGGGTCTACAAAGTCAGCACAACAATCAAAATAATGAAGAAATAAAAAATGTGTTTCCTGTTTGTCTCTTCTTAGATAAAAATTATTTTCACAAAAACAAGCATAACAGCTTATCATTACTTTAATCAAAAATTGTGATTATAGTCAAATTATATAATCAATTCTAAAATCAGGATAACTGTATTTATTTTTTGATTGCACCTACATAAGGTGACGATATGTATATGTTATAAAGAAGTAAAAGTTATATTTACTACTTTCGATACTTTCCAACAAATGAAGGAAACACAGAAAAATAATTTTCAAAAAAAGCTTCCCATGCACCGTTTTATAAACATTTACATAATAAACCGTGTCCATAAAATACAGACAAAATTCCAAAGATATAAACAATATTTGTGTTATTTAATGTTTTAATAATTGATTGTTTTTTAATCCTTGTCGTTGATCTGTCTGAGGTCTAGTTTAGGTGCATCCCGGAGTAATTTTATATATCCACCTCCACAGTCCTGACCGTTCTATAATAAATAAAAATATATCTAATGTACAGATTTATGAGATTAAATTTAATTTTGTGTTTCTAATATGGTGCCGTATACGATATAAGATCAGGGTGTTCTTTAAAAAAATGATGCTTTAAAAAATAGAATCGTTAAGTATTGAATTTAATATTTCAAAGAATTGAATATGAAATGTCCCAAATGAAAAAAATGATGTTTTAGTTTTAGAATGGCACGGTCTTTGCATAAAATGGCACTGTATTGAATACAAAATGGTGCTGGTTCAATAATTGAATAATACTGCATTTTATGAATTTTGTATTAAATAATGTAACAAGTTTAAGCCTAATATCAGTCTAATGTTACATTCACTAAGGCTTTATCAAACCTAAAATAGCGCTAAATTACCTGGAAAGCAATCTCATACTGAACGACTAACATCTTCTCATTAAACTTGAACGGTTTTCTGGATAATCAACACATCATGGATCAGGCGTTTATCAAACATCAAAATATTTTTTTTACAAGTTAAAAATTGCGTTTGAATTGGGAGACGAAAAAATTTGGGTTTTTAATCTAGGGGGTAAAAATAGATTAAAAAAACTTTTGGACTTATACATGGATCATATGTTTAACATTTGTTTTTGTGCTTCTTTCTTGGTATTTTATTTCATTCAAATTTGTTGACACAATTGCTATTTTATTTCTTCATCCCTTGTCGAGTAGATATTTAACAACTATGATTTTAGATTAGGAAAGTTTGAAATTTAACATAATGATTTCTGTAATGGTTTCCTTAGTTTGGCTGAGATAGCGGCGTGTTTAGCTTTCGTTTTCAGAACCAAACCATTGTCTCCTAGATTTGTGAAAAGTTTAATTTTTAACTAGTTGAATTGTCCGGGGTTGCCCTTAATAAAAAACTAAATATTTGAAGAAAAAAATATTTGGAAAAAAACTTGAATTTTGTTTAGCCTATGCATCCCAAGGCTATACATGAGTGTCAAGAAAATTTCAGCCCTTTCAGTCCAGACGTTTGGACGGCAAGAGGGAACATATATACGAATGTCTTGTTTCATTATATCAGGAGTATCAGGAAAGAGATCTGAGNACAGTCATTGCGTGAATGTTTACAATTTTCACGATTTCACTAGATTTTGATAGTCATAACTAAGCATCATATTTTTGTTCATATTATCGAAAATAGACTAAAACATAAAATACAAAAGCAATGATATTAATAAAAATGTGAACATGTAGGTAAAAAAATAATAGTTTGTTGCCGATTTATGTCTGATATCTGATTTTTATATTTTTTTGTCAGATAAAAATATGGTTTAACCTTTTAGAGGATCGGTATTAAGAGGTTCTATGCTCCATTCTCCTCCATACTTTAGTGATTTTCCATCCTCTGCCTTAGCCTGTAATAATATTATTTTTGTATTTCTAATTGGTTTTAATTCCAATAATGATATATTATTATATTTGTATTGCTTTTATTACCAAGTTTAGTAAGTCGTACTTTGAAGAAAATTGTTACTTTTACGAATTGGAGGCTGCAATGTTTCTTTAAAAAATCCCCCCCTTCCCTTAGCCAGACCCTCCAGCACCAATACAGTCAAAACTATCATTTAATTTTAAAGGTTGACAAATAATTTGTTCATTTTCTGACTCAAAATTAATTTGGTCTCAGATTTCGTTGTAATATTCTAATCAACGTTAAAACTTTTTGTTTACTAACGATGTAAACAAATATCGAAATATATTTCATATTCTTAAGTTGTACAATCAGGGGCTTAATTATTAATTAATACACACGGAGATAAGATTTTTTAACAAAATTAATGATAAAATTTAACTTTAACACTTAAATACACGGAAGTTTTGGATCAAATATATATTGCCCCTCTCTCCGCGCTTACATTGATTTTATAGATACATTCAATCTTTTTCATCCCAAAAGGAAAGAAAAAATTTACATAAGAATATCGATTAATTTAATACCTGTGACTTGATCCACTTGTCACCAAGTACACTAACATCATCAAAGTGTTCTGAGAAGTAATATTCTGGATGGGAGTCAGGACTGGTATATAGGATATCATCTAGTACAACCTGCTCAACCTAAAATATAGTATTCAGGATGGGAGTCAGGACTGGTATATAGAATATCATCTAGTACAACCTGCTCAACCTAAAATATAGTATTCAGGATGAGAGTCAGGACTAGTAGGATATCATCTAGTACAACCTGCTCAACCCACACCGATTTAATTTTTTTTTGTAAAGAAGAATTAATCTCTGTTCATGCAACATTTAATTCCGGTTGTGTACTTGTGTATAAAAATTTCCTTTTTTCTGCAAAAAGAAAGAATTTCTTTCTGATTATTGTTTAACCTAAAATAAATACTGCATATTTTAAATAAATAAAAATCTAACCTTAACGACTTCATCAGCACCTACATCTTCAACCTGAGCATCCGTATCGTCATCTTCCCCCGTGTGTGCTCTTGCGAGCGCCGCGAGGATCAGTACACTGATCCAGATCTTCATGTTCTTCACCTTCTGAAATATTCTACAGTGCACAATGGGATAAAATATAATAGTTTCAATTAATGATAAATAGTTATATAAGGGCAGGTACTTAAAGGTGCGTTTGTCGTAATTTTAAGTGACCCTACATTAAAGGTATCCCCGATTCACAACGGTACCCTTGACTCGTGTATCTAATTATAAATGTGGAAGATATTGTCGTTATTTTAGACCAATTACTTGATCAGTCAAAGCTGTTAAGGCTAATGTTTTGAATCTGACATACCACTCTTACAATGGAGGGCCACATGAAATACGATTTTAGAACCTTCAAGAAATTGTAGAGTTGATTTCGCATTTTAATGCTATATTGATAATGTTACTGCTCTATCAATAAATTGTGTGGAGTGGAGAGACAATTTGGTTTCCCGAAAACCCAAAAAGTCATTTAATGTCATACACGTTTTAAGCTGGCTACAAAAAAAAACCGAAACCTCTTTTTATTGATAAAATGTTGATTCTTTTTACGATAAAATGGGGGGGGGGGGGTGTCTCCGAAAATAATATTTCTACACCCAGGGCTTTAAGCTTATAACATGATTTTTGGTAGTATTCCTCCAACTTTAACATTTAATGGTACTCTCAGTACCTTTTTTACAGATATATACATGAAGACTAGAGGACTGTAGCTAAATATGGTTTAAGTCTCAATATGGAAAACTGTAGAAAAGGATTAAAACAGTATCACGATTATTGGACATATTCAATAAGTACGAAAGTAATTAACAGCTCGGGGGAATATATGGTAGATTCTCTTGGTTTAAATTCAAATTAAATATAAAAATTATAACAATGAGAAAAATATTCTTGAGCTTACATTCATGACATTTCATGAAATTTGGGCTTTGCATCTATTCCGAAAAAATATGCATTCTTGAACATTTAAAGTGACACGTCCCAGAAAAATTAATAAATTTAACAATAGTTCCGTTGATATTTTACCTTAAAAAAGTCATGAAATTTTTGTATAACTTCCTTAGTACTGAAATTTAGAAGAAAAAAAAAAAGAATGTTGAAATTTGATTAAGGACATAAAATGTACTCGATATCTTTTAAAGAACAAACAAACTTTGTTTTGATGAATTAGTACAATGAATAATTAAAGCGAATATAAATAAATAACTAAAAAGCAAATTAAATATTACGAGGACAGAAGAAATCAATAAACATAATCAAACGGATATTCACAATAACTCAATCAGACACACAAATAAAAAAATATCTGATAGAAAAGCGAGAAAAAATGTGGCAACAACTGATGCTTGATTTCAGGAAATCGAAGAAAATTACTGCAATTGTAATGAAATAAAATACCAATTAAAGAACAAGTGTTTTAAACAGTTGGGCTTTAACAAGTGAATTAAACTAAGAGAGGGTTCAAATCTGATTGTATTCAATGATTTCTGCAAGAATGAATGAGAATTATTTAAACTAAACTTGGGTTTCTTTTGTTTCCATCTTATCCTCTTCACGAGCTTGCTCCAGAGTTAGAGCTGTGGGAACCGGAGAGTTTTCTCTTGAGGTTTCTGAAGGTGGGCGTGGAGAAGGTTGCGGAGTGGACCAGCTACTGGACCAGGGTACCTTGTAAGGAGCAGAACGTGTGGATTGGGTTATCAGTAGGTTGGAGGACTGACGCTTAGACGGAGTACATTCCCCATCATCCAGCATACATTTCCGTTTCACCGGTCCCAAAGCTGACGGACGGAGGGTGATTGGAGACAAGCTTCTCCGTGAGGTCCAGGATCTCCTGGTGGGACTAGAGCTTGGACTGGGGGTAAAGGAGAGGTTGGTGGGGACCGGCATCTGCATAGAAGGGGAGTAGCACTGCTTCCCTGTCACGGATGATCTGGTGGGGGAGGGGGAGGGAGAAGGTGAGGTCCGAGGGGACGGGAAAGGACCGACACCTATGGTGAGAGGAATGGTTGGGTCTGTTGTTTTCCGTCTTCCTCTCGTCTCCTTGTTGTCACTTAAAGATAAATCCTCCCAAGACTGAGACAGATTTTTCTCCATCGATATTTCTCTCTGAACCTCGCGCTCTGTGGCTATCTCGTTCTTCCCGACATCTCTAGTTTCCTCAACCTTGAGACGGTTTAACCTGGCCCAACCTGTTTGCCCTCCTCCTCCCCCTCCACTAGGACTAACAGGACTCACACTAGTACTCCATCTTCTCCAGCTTCTTGTGACGTAGGAGGCTCTCAGTCTCTTTTGGGCTGGAGGATCGGAGGCTATTAATTGAGGGATGAGGGGAGCTGAGGATGATCTCTTTAAACCGTTGGTCAGTGTATCCTCGACCTCTGAGTCCGCCTCTAAATCTCCAGGAATATCTATCTCCATGCTTAATTCATTATCATACACTTGATCTGAAATTAAAAACATGAAATTCTCCTGTTGGATTAACTCAGGTCCGTCCTAGAGAACGATTTTTGGACCCCCCCCCCATCCTATCAAATGTGTACATTTACTTTTTTATTATTGAGGGTTAGATTAGGTTAAGATAATTTCTGGGCCGAGCGCCGCGGCTAGGTCAGGCTAGGGGCCGGCGCTGTAGCCACATGATCAATTTTACAAAATGTACAAAACTGATAGGAAGGGGAGGGGGTCCAAAAATCGTTCTCTGGGAAATTACCGTTTGACTCTTTAATATTAACTTTAAAAAAACCCTTATTAGAGATAAAAAATGAAAAAGCATTTTCTAAGATTTGGTAATCAATATAAATTTATATAAAACTGTGTTACCCAAGATGAGACCCGTAAAGACGACCTAAAACTATGTCTTGAATAAATGACTAAAGAAATGATCAGACAAACTTAAAGAAGATGCAGAGTTGCCAGGAAACATGAATGTCAGGAATCAGACGGCATCTCATTCCGTAAAATTGTCTTCTAAGTCTCCTCCTTTGTGGTAACCCTGTTAAAATTTATGCTTGTCTGTTTGTCTGTAGCCAATATACGTCACAACGGCTGAACCAATCGGTACTAGTTCGATAAGTAGCGGCCTACACGTAATAAGTTCATGAACTTCAGTAGACCACAAAAACAGGAATAGAAGACAAATCTTCAGATAAAAAATAGCTTCCCTCTAATTTTTTTAATTCCACGGGCAACGCCGTGTACTTCAGCTATTAATAAATATAAATAGAAAAACTGCACACTTGTTCAGTTAATACCCATGTACAAAATTGATAGGAGGGGGGGGGGGTCCAAAAATCGTGTACTAGGAAATTACCCGTTCGAAAAAATATTCAAGCACCAGATCATGCAAATTACCACAAATACGTAACATCAATAAAAATGTGGTATCCCAATACTTTTTAGTCAGCCGTCAAACTATCATTTAGTGTTTCGCAGAGACGTACTTTATATTAATAATTAACTAAATCACATTCCTTTCTTCTCGATTAAGAAAATTTTAAACTCAGCACGTTTACACATTGAATATTAATTGATAAAAGGGGAATTAAACAATGAAATGAAGTGCATAAAATTAATAAATCTCGAAATTCAACACGCCGAACGTTTCAATTGGTTCGGTTAGGGGAGGGCTGGCTCCTATTGGTTGAAATCTGCTGGAAGAAACTGTGGGACGTTGCCGCGGTTTTACTAATATTATCCCGGATTTAGTCGTCTTCGTTTTATTCATATTTAAGCAATCAGTTAATAATAACGAAAGACATACGGAACCTAATGGGAAATTGACCTATGGAATTATGACCTAAAATTTATTATTCAAAATGATTCCTCATCAAGTATTACCCTTAAATAAAATTTTCTTCTATGAATATAAAAATACTCGTAAAATGTCGTAAATCCTGTAGGTTAGTTTGACCCACATAGGTCGGATGTCTGTGCACAATGCAGTTGGGGGTTATGGAGTACCCGTCAGCAGAAAGCAAGAAAAGGAGGTTTATAAACAACAACAGAGACATCTACACTAACTTCATTTATTTTTTAAATAAAAAAATCATGAAATAATAATGATATTATTAAGAGATATTATAAAATTAAAAGTGATCAAATCCAAAGGTTTTTAAAAACATGAATTCAGCTGCACACAGGTATGAAGTTTGGACAGAGCTGAAACTTATCAAAATTTACAAAATGTAATTTTTAAAAACATATTATTTCGATTAATAAAAAACATACATCTGCGTAATGCCATTGGGTTTCCGAGGATTCCGAGCCAATTCTTCCAACGCGATTATAGCTTTGGGAAATCATTTACGATTACAATCAATTATTTCTGTTTGTTATAATTTGCCGCGGGTCTGTCCTAATATACGATTTTGATTTTTGAATCCCCCCCCCTATTTCCTATGTAACCCATGGGTCGAGTTGGACATGTGGCCCTCTAGCGTCCTTGCCTCGGCGCTCGCGGCCCCCTAGCCTGTCCTAGCCGCATAGCTCGGCATTGTCTTAACCAAACATAACCCTGACGAAATCTAGTACACAAAAATGTGAGGAAAAGGTGGGGTCGTGGGAGTTACAAGTCTTGAACCACCAAATATATTTGTAAACTTATTTTTTATTAAAATTTAATAAAAATACAAAAATTCTTGAAAATAATATTGAGTAATAATAATAATAAGCTGATTTTTAGGTGTGTGGAAGGAGTATAAATGTGTGAATAATTCATAGGAGGATCTTTAAATTGTGAATTAAAATGGCCGAAAACCAAACTAGGTCCGAAGATAATTCTTTCCTTCCAGAACCTGGTTCAGAGCACCCATTATCCGCACTACAGCAGCAATCTCATGTACATCAACAGCCGCATGTACAATCCGAGCTTGTTGTACAACAACACCCTCACGTACTACAACAACAAAATGTACACCTACAACCTCTTGTACAATCTCAGGCTCATGTACAACCACAAGCACATGTACAATTACAGTATGCCGACCATGGAGGTTATGCACAAAAACAAGAAAACTTACAACGAGGTTATGAAGAAACAGTAGGACAAGAGATAAAACTCAAAGTTGGTTCTCAAAGAAATTTGCAACATCAGAATTCTGCAGAACTTCAGCGTGTGGAAACAGAGGTTCATGATAATCATTCATCTCTGCATATGCAGATATCAGAATCAGGAGAACGTGTTCTGCTGCAGCCTACTGGAACATGCCATCCACATCATCAGCAAGTAGATCAAAGCGTTCAATATGTGCAGCTGGGTTCAGCAAACCAATACCATCATCAGAAAGCAGTTTCTCTACAACAACCCATACCAACAGCCGTACAAATTCAACAGCAACCTAACACAGAGGAAACTTCACAACATCAATTTATTGAAGCAGGAAGTCGGATACAGCTTTCTAGCAAGGAAACAGAACATTATTCACAACACCAGCTTCCAGGTGTACATCCACAACAATCACATGAAGGAGTTGCAGAAGGGCCCCCACAACTTCAGCATGTGGAAGCAGGAAGTCATCCACAAAATTTGCTTGTTCAACAACAAAGAGACGCAGGGTATACACAACCACAACATATGCAACATCACACTGAACAGGGAGCCCCGCAACAGCTAGAACTTACAGCTGTTGATGTGCATCAAGTTGTAGAGAGTGTTGAGGGAGGAGATCAGTATGTTACAATTGTACAAGATGGTCAGGTTTGTGAAAATTTAAAATTAAAAATAAATAAGCAATATCTTGTTAGCTAATAAACCTCATTTTATCTGTTAAAAATATGTTTTTGAAAAATGTAGAACAACCATATCACCCATTGTACCATAGCACAAAATTATTTTAAAATTTTAAACTTTATAAAGCAACTTAGATTTCAATGTTTTAATATAACATAAGAATTAAATCTTTTATATTATAAATCTAGACGTATGCGATACCTTTAGCAGATTATGAAGCAATGCTTGGTAAAGTAGAGATTAACACCGTCCAAGAACATCAAGAACCAACAAGAGAATCAACGGTAGGGTTCAGTTTCTTTTAACAGCTTCTGTCCATATTCTTTTCGGATAAAATGATTAATTATATATCAATTTCTACTATCAATGATCTTTTTTCATGGGTATTAAGTTTCAATAATTACACTAGACCCCCTCCCCCTACCCTCCTGAGGGGGAAATGAGGGAGAAAGGATTTTTGGTGATTTCGGGGAGGAAACTGAAAAGTTGGGCATCAAAAGACAAGTTTTTTATCCTCTTTGATACAATTTTATTCTTTAATTATAAAAATAAATAAATATTGTTTGTCTAAATGGAGGCTAAGGGCTCTCCCGAGGCCGGAATGAGTATGTCCTGGATGTCTGCAGGAGTATTTGAGCCTCCGACCTCCAAACGGAAAATTATCTCAAATCTTGGATCTCAGAAATCTGCAAAGCCAGTACTCAGGCCCATTAAGGTAATGTTTATTATTCATAGGGCTTAGAAAAGTGGCTTTTACATGTGATTAATTCTTATACAATAAATACAAATTAAAAATGAGAATTAGGACTGTAACTTTTAAATTGTCTCGAGTCCTCTTTCAAAATTCATTGAACCAATCAATAATTATAAAATAAAAAATGATAATTATGACTGTAACTGTTAAATTATCTCTGTCCTCTTTCAAACTTCATTTATTTATTTAATTAATATTTATGAAAATTAAAAATGAGAATTAGGACTGTAACTTTTAAATTGTCCTTGTCCTCTTTCAAAATTCATTTAACTTATTAATAATTATACAAATTAAAAATGAGAATTAGGACTATAACTTTTGAATTCAATTCAAAATTCATTTAACTAGTTAATGATTATACAAATTGAAAATGAGAATTAGGACTGTAACTTTTAAATTATCCTTGTCCTCTTTCAAAATTCATTTAACTAATTAATAATTATACAAGTTAAAAATGAGAATTAAGACTGTAACTTTTGAACTGTCCTTGTCCTCTTTCAAAATGCATTTAACTAATTAATTTATAATTATAAAAATTAAAAATGTGAGTCGGAACTGTAACTTTCAAAAATTTGATTATGCATAAATTTTTTTTTTTCCAAACATATTCTGATTTGAGGGAGAGAGAGGGAATGATTATATAAGAAAATGTTGAAATTGTTGTTTCAACGGGGAGGGGAGGGAGGAGGATGGTATTATGAACGATTAAACAATATACAGTAAAACTATTTCTTGTTTGGAAGAAAAATGATAAAAAGAATGAAAGAAGAAAAACTAGCTACTTGGGGGATTCGATCTCTGAATAATGCTGAAAAATCTACCATGAGTACGGAGTACATGATAACCAGAAAACTCTGGAACTCTGGACAGTACAACATCGAACTAATTCTTTCTTGAAAAAATATGTTAAGGTTGACAATTGGGGCATTTTCCTCTTGGACAGACTTCAGAGTTGCTTTCAGAGGAAAGAGCTTTGTGATCTTACTGTCAGGCGAGAATATTTTTTTATTAATGGTGGCAAATTATCAAACATTAAATCATGACCAATTTTGAAACAAATGTTTAAAATATTTTTCCTGTAAATTCAACAATCACATTTTATCGTAATGAATTTTTAAAATTTCTAAAAATGTATTTTAGAGAAGGTTTTATTGACAAATAAAAAGTCCAGCTTCGAATTTTTATTCTAAAATTTAAGACATTCGATTTTACACACTCTTAAGAATGCCACAATGAGAATTAGATATTTGCTTATAAGGGTTTATTTACAGATTTCCGGACAAAAACGCGCAGATCAAGATGCACAAGCTTGTGGTGAATGCTTGCACAGAGTACTTCATTAACGCAGGTCAAACAATAGTTTTAGAACTTCTGGAAATAATAACCCCCCACCCCCCCTTTGGTTTTAATAATGAAAACAAATCTATTTTTTTATTGATAATTAAATTTACAAATTCCTTTGGGCCTTTGGCCTACAAAATCTTAAACCTCTCTTCTACATTATAAATTCTGCACTAACAATCAAGTACCTTTTTTTACTGTCAACGCCAACCCCCCACCCCACCCCACCCCGCCCAAAAAAAGATTATTTATATTTTGAATTCAACTAATCTTCAATTCACATTAATAAATACTTTTCGAAGCGCTTTCTCAAAGAAAAAAATGTATTTAGAAAAGGAAGGTAAACTTGTAGAGGGTATAATGGATATGCCAGCAAACTTTGTACCGGAAGCAATGGCACCAATCATTAGATTTATGTACACAGGTAACAATGCTTTTTTATGCTTATGCTTTTTTAATTTATTGAAAATATCTAGCTGCAATACATTGAAAACATTTGCAATACGTTGAAAATATCTGCAATACATTGAAAACATCTGCAATACATTGAAAACATCTGCAATGGATTAAAAAATCTGCAAAACATTGAAAACAACAACAATACATTGAAAACATCTGTATTACATTGAAAACATCTGCAATACATTGAAAACATCTGATTGAAAACATCTGTATTACATTGAAAACATCTGCAATACATTGAAAACATCTGTATTACATTAAAAAACATCTGTATTACATTGAAAACATCTGTATTACATTGAAAACATCTGCAATACATTGAAAACATCTGCAATACATTTAAAACATCTGCAATACATTGAAAACATCTGCAATAGATTAAAAAATCTGCAAAACATTGACAACAACTGCAATACATTTAAAACATCTGTATTACATTGAAAACATCTGCAATACATTGAAAACTTCTGAAATATATTGAAAAAACATCTGCAATACACTGAAAACATCTCAAATAAATTGAACAAATTTGTAATATATACATATTTAAAACATTTCTGAAACCCTTAAAACATCTAAAACCAAACATTCATTTTTCCGAATGAAATTTTTTTTTTGAACAGGAAAGTTTTTTTTATTTCTATTTTTTTCTAAAAATGCTTTTATTAAGAATTAACCTATGACGTAATAAAAATTGTTCTTTTGTTGTATTTAATTGATAACGAACAGTAGCTGAAATAGAAATTGTTAGTAAAATGATTATATTTTCGTGATTGTACACTGTACAGGTAAGCTGGAGGTGAAGGAAGATTCTTTTCAACGGTTGTATGATACTGCCCATCTCCTCAACATGTCTGTGCTGATCAAGCTGCTGGATGCACAGCTCAACCCTCCACTCTCAAACACGGACCTGGAGAACAAGAACAAGAGGAAGTCCAGTGCTGAAGATGATCCCGTCAACCAAGTCAAGTAAAGGATTTTAATGTGTAAACGAAAAATCTCCAAAACAAATTTACCCTCTGATTGTTTTCATCTTACTGGAAACATTGAATGTTACTCAATCTGTTCGATCCGTCTTTTGAACATTGAAAGCTTCCAGGCTTTTAAGAGCTAGGTTTTACTAACATCCCAAAAGTCTCATAATTCAATATTTTATTCTCTACCACCTTATATTGATTGCATTATGCTGTACTTTGCTTTGATAGAAGATATAAGCCGATAGAAGATACAAGCCTTGTACGAAGCCAAACCAATCGTTCTTCTGAACAATGTGAACAATTGTTTAGTTTTATATCTACTATTAGCTATAAACGTTCAAACTTTTAGTTCCAATTTTTTGAGGGAAAAATAACAAACAAATGTATACAAAAATGAGTTAAAAATCCACCTTAAGTTATTTTCTATCTGAGTAGAGAGTCGAAAATTTGACCAAAATAATAAAACAATTTTTTAGGAAATTCAAGAAAATCGAGGAAATTGTCAAACAGGAAGAAGCTAAAGCATCAAAACTGGAAAGGCTAAAATCTTTGTACAAGTTGAAACAGAAAGAAGAAGAATTAGAGAAAATGAAGCTTCCCGGAAAGAAGCTACCGATATGGAAGAAACGGGTTTTTGGAGCTTCTGAAACATCAAACCCCACCATGGACCATATAGGTATATTTTAGAGCACTTGGAGTGATTGATTGATTGATTGATTGGTTGGTTGGATTATTAATTTTAATAAATATTCAGACCCAATGCCAGAGAATGTAAAAACGGAATTAAAAAGTCCTTTAACTACAGCAACCAGATCCTATATAATTCCAAAACTAGGAGAGCCAAGTCCTAAAAAGATTACCCCCACCACCTACCAAAGGAAACAGTCTCCAGACAAACCAAAAATTCCCCGTAAACTTAGAGAAATCCAGGAACATCTGCTTTTCGAGAAGGTTCTAAGAACAGGGTCGAAAAACACCCTGATGCAACGAAAGGATGGAGAGGAGGGAAGGGAACCTCTATCTGCTGAGGAGATTAAGGAGCTTGGTGAGCAGCAGGCTCAGCGGAAGGATGTTGAAGATGATGATGAAGAAGATTATTTTGATAATGATACTGAGTTTATTACTGATGAGTATCTTGGAGATAATGATTCTCCTGCTCCTGAACCCCAACCAGAGGAAGAGGAGGAAAATACCCAGCAACCTTCGGTAGATCAGGTAAAAACAATTTTTGTTCATACTCAAATTTGTAAACCATATCATTAGACATAGTTTAAATCTTCTATTTTTATTATTTGATTTTAGGAGCAAATAACTTCGGATGTGCCTAAGAATACAGTGGAACCTGGAAGAAAAACAGTACTTTTCAGTATAAAACCTGAACCAACGGGTTCATACTCAGCACCCTCTGAACTCTCACAATCTAAATCTTCTACATCAACTTCACCATCTACATCTACTCCTTTATCAATGTCTGCTCCTACTACGTTACTCCCCTGTAAAATCCCAAAGGCAGCTGTTACCCCAATACTTCAGAGTGAACTAGATGATGCTCTCGACGAGTTCACTAGGGTGGCAGAGGAGGAAGCTATGGAGGAAGAAGGATCTAATGAAACCCAGGAAATGAAAAAACCAAGAAGAGGACGACCGCCGAAAGTTCTCCAAGAAAAAAAGCTCTCCATGGCTCCATCTCCCCCAGTGATAAACGAAGTTAAAAAAGATGTTCCTGTAAACAAATCTGATGGGGTCGATCAATCTAGATTGATCGCTGATCTCCTGAAGAAGTATCCGAAGATCTTGAAGGACAACAAGCCGGTGAAAATAAGGATGTCTGTGGTGGAGAACGGGAAACCTACGGTTCAGGTGATCACTCTGAAACCTCAGGTGGTTCCTTGTAAACCTTTATATCAACAGTTCAATCCTAGCTCAGCACTTAAAAATCTACCAAAGGTACTTTTATTAGGGGTTTTAATGAAAATATTTCAATTAATGTTCTTGTTATTTTTGATTAATAAGAAGTGTCTTCTTTATAAACAAAAGAAAAATAATTTTTTATTTAAAAAGTTTAGAAGCCGGGCGGGATTTTTTCACTTGATATCTTAGAAAATATAAATTATCATAATCATGTAACTAGGGATTTCGGAAAAATTTATAATAATTATGTGATAATTTTAAAAACATCTAAAAATAAAGAGATTAATTAAATGTTCAAGAAATTTACAACATACGATATAGTTAAATATTTCCTGATCTTTTAAAATGGTAAAAACGGAGGAAAATCACTTAATACCAATCTATATAATAAAACAAGACATTCGTATATATGTTGCGTATAGCCGGCAAAACGGCATTGAGGTGAAATTTTTTGTAGACACTCATGGGTGGCCGGGGGGTGTTATAGGCTAGACAAAATTCAAAATCTTTTTTCTTCAAAATAAAATTTTTTTTTTTATTTTTCCCCAACATTTCTGAAGCAAATTTAAAAACTTAAAATTTAAAAAAATATTACTTCTATCGATGGACATTTTACGGGTTTTTTCTTTGTCTTGTGTTATCAATCGTAGCGCTCTGACGGGAGAGTTTCATATTGGGTTACTTTTTTAAATTTATGCTGGATTCTTGTAGGTTCTGTACACTGGTAGACGGGGAAGACCAAAAAAACTAAAGCCCGGTGAAGTTGACCCTCATGCTGAACAGCGGCGAAAGATCAAAGAGAACCTGAAGAAGAACTGCCCCAGCCTGGCCCGCCAGCTAGAGGAGGAGGAGGATGAACCTGATGTACAGATTTGTCCGGAGATACCAGAACCTGCTGGTTCCTGGCTAGACCAGACAAACAACCAGTACCAGAACACACAACGGGGTCATCAGATCGGAGCTAATCATCAGATTCAAGCTCAACTAGTTTCCCAGCATCCTGATAATCAACATGGTAAATATATTTAACGATTAATTACTTCTGGGTTAAGCAAAATGAAGACCCATTCTTTATCTTTTTTTTGCTTGAATATATCTGTATTTAAATTTGTATCTTTTTTTCATACATGCTAATAAATATACACTGTACAATACATGATTTATGTATTTACATAGTTTCTAAGCTTGATTTTAAGTAACTAAGCACCCAAGTCAAACTAATGTTTTATAAATGCTACATCTGTACAACCTAATGGTGCAAATATTTGCCTATTTATCAAGCAGAAAACATCAGGTTACAAAGATATTGTGATTTGAAACTAAGAGTTTGATCGAGGCTCTTGTTCAGCTCCTTTTAATTTTTCCCCCACCTAAAAAATACACCCTGTTGCCATCTTGTTTTCTTAGTTTCCAAGTCTAATATTTTCTTCTCTTCTCAAAATTGGAGCAACGTTCCCTAGATCGTAAAATACATTTTCTTAAGGCTTAGTGGATTTCTGCGGAGGAGGAGGTGGAGGAGTAGTTGGTGGAGGTGGTATGCAGGTTGATGGAACTAATCTGTATCAATTGGTTCAGAACCCTCAGGAGTATCTCCAGATCCTTGACCCAGAGGACTCAAAATATGTTTATGTCATGGATCTCAAGGCTGGAGGGAATGTTCTTGTACAACACACCGTTAATTCTGCAGGTTGGGTTAAACCTTAATGGGCCTGTTGACGTATTTTACTGTTTCAAGTGCACTTTATTTGAACAGCTGCATGGTTCACGATACCTTATACCTGGGCCTCAATATCATTTAAAATTAGAAACGTTCAAAACTACTATTGATATGATTATTTGAATTTTCACTCGAACCACATCTTAATTTTTAAATTGAATGAGTTAAAGAAGTTTCCTCATTTTTAAGATTTGTTGGCACTTATCTTGCTTTCATTAAACTGAGTCAAAAACAAGATCAAACAAAAACAAAATCAAAATAAAATCTTTTGTTTTCCGGTTTACATTTTCTCCGATGGGCCAAACTTAGAGTTCAAAGTCGAATATTTATTTTTATTTTCAGGCATGATAGTACCTTCTACTTTTACATCTACATCTGGCACTGTTCTTCAAGGAGTTCAGAGTTTATCATCCATCCAACAAACTTCAGTCATTCCATCCATTCAATCCTCCTCACTCATCCCATCTATTCAACACTCAGTCATCCCCTCCACAACTCTTATTCAACCCAACACCGGAATTGTTTCCATTTCATCCCTCAACCCCATCATCCATAACAGCAGTGTGATCCCACAAACCTCTATAGTTATTCCCTCCTCCCTCCCTGGATCACTGATACCAGGAGTACAACCCGCCCTACCCTCTCTAAACCCTGGTCAGATACTTGGAGGAGTTCCTGAACCTGAACAGTCGGATAAACGAATGGACAAGATAGTCGATGATTGGGATTCCGATGCTGATTAGAGGAAGAATTTTGAAACTTAAAAAACGGAAATAACTATTTAGCTAGAGTGCACATCTCATGCTTATCCTGAAGTATATTGAGGATTGTGGGGTAGGAGTAGATACCAAATAATCACTGAGAGAATTTGTGTGATGAAAAGACATAGAAATTGTTGTCGTAACTTTAAAGTACTACTAAATGACTGTGATCGTACATTTTAACGATCCTTTGTTTAAGAGTGCCATAAATGATTCACAAAGTTCTCTTTATGACAATAGTGCACAATTATTCTTCTACACTCTCGAAAGATACACAGCTTGTGGCAACAGTTTTTTTAGAACCAGACTGAAGAATTCCGATTTTCGGTGCAAAAACAAACAAGAAAGTACTATTTCAGATAGGATAACAACGATATTTGCACCTGTTATGTATATTTTAAAACTTGATAAAGACATTTAATTTTTTTTAATACGTTTTTATCACGCTTTTTATAAATGTTATCAATTGAATTTTAAATACCTTAGATACCTCTTTAAAAAGGCGTATTATCCTTCGTACCAACGCCTCGTTCTTTAATTTCGCAACAAACTGCACGAAGTGTACCATATCACGATTGGTGATGCAGTATTTCTCCCCATATTGTTATTGTATCAAATTTTTTAGCGTTCATGATTTCATGACAAGGGAAATACAAAGAATTGATGTTCTTTTAGAGGAAAATGAACTTTTAATGTTTAAGTGGGAAACTATTTTATCAAAAATGTTAAATCCTTTTTGCGCCAGAAAACTGATACAGCTTTTTCTTATAAAGCTCTTCGCTCATATATATTTATTTGTATAAATGTTAGCTATAGCTGGCCAAACGGCATGGAGCGACTGGGCTGAAATTTTTATGGAACCCTTGAGTACCCCGTGGGTAAAATGGTCTAAAAAATTAGATTTTTTTTTTTAATTCCACATAACGCCGGGTACTTCAGCTAGTTTTTAATATTTTGCGGTCCTGAAATTTGTTTTTTCAAGATGGTTATTTTGACACCCGTCTTGGTTTAATTTGATGATTTCTCTTCGCTTACAAGAGTGTTTTATTTTCACAAAAAAAGACCGAAACCTAATTTAATTTGAAAATTATTGAACTGATGCAAGATGGATTTAAAAATGTTTTTTTAAAGTGCCCCTTCGTTTTATCATATTCTTGTGATCTACTAAATGATGCAACCGAAAGATCGTTAAAAAGTAAGTGAACCGAAATTATAAAACTATACGTTGTACAAAACAGTTACTAAAAATATGAGATATTTAACTACTTAATATAAATAAAAATAAATTAACATAATAATTTATTCTGTACACGGCCGAATTAGATTACCGACTCATTTTCCTTTTAATTTTATTTTAGAAGGAAATATTTCTAAATCTTTGAACTGAAATCGGATAAAAAAAAACTAAAACGAACATCGGTGGTTATCATGAGTAAAGTATTCTCCCCTCCCCCCCCCCCTTCTTCAAATACAAATCCTCATTCCTCGGTGATTCTAAATATTTTAACCCGGAGTTCAACACTAAAGGACGATCTAAAAGTTAGCAAATGTCTAAGTGTTCATAAATGACCTCTAGTCTATATCTTTAAAATGTACATCAAATTTTCGGTGTCTATTTCAGAACAATTTATTCAGGATGAATTACTCATTTCTTTATCACAATACATTTCATTTACATTAAGAAGACAAAAACAAAACAAACCCCTTCTTCAAGGGTCCAAATAAATTATGTTTATATAAGGACATAGTGGTAACTAAACTAGCAGAGAGTTTCATGGTCTGTTTTGTAGTTGAGCTTCTACTAATTCTACATAAGGTTTTACATTGAAAAAATCGGTAGCAAAATCTACAAGTAACAATATCTATGAAAAGTCGAAGTATTTTTCCAAATTTAAAAAGGTCTGGTTTTTCAACCAAATTAGATACAAATAGTATTTTTACATAACACATTTAATGAACAAAATACTATGCCGCATTTTTTTGCATAAAACTGCGCGTGTTGGAAATCTAGGTTTAGGGATATGTTGATTAAATTCAAAAATGAATGAAGGTATAGAAATTGAATATGTGATTTAAGATTTAGTGTTTGCTTAATTTTATACCATTCCTTTAAGCGTGGAAAGAGAGGGCTATTTCTTACCTTAAAGCTTCGCTTTTATTGGTTTAAGCAAAACAATAAAATTGGGCCAAATTCTAATTCTAAAACATGCGGGAAAAATGAAAGAAAACGTTTAATTGAAATCTTCGAATAGTCACTTGTCAGGCCCTCAGGCGTAATCAGATTCCAAGATTTTCTAAAAACAAACAAGCTTATCTAAAGTCAGGTTCAGGTCCAATATTGGATAGAATTGTAAACTGGGCAGTTAAGATTCCAAGAAACAGTAAGAATTTTTAAATTTGAGATTGTTTACTTTTTAGATACTCTGTAGGCTAGTTTAATCATGTCTTTAAGTTTTATACACAAATTATGAAAAAAAAAATTCAAAAATATGCTAATTTTTCATGTACGCAGTATACATTGTAATGTATGTACAATTTACAATATATTCTGTACATTGTTCTCTCCTTATTTTGTTTATTCCATGCCTCAACATAAACAACAGCCAAACAAAAAATTATTACAATTAAGCGTAAAATATCTTTAAAAAATGTGTACAGAAATTGAATTTTACCCCAACATTTAAACAAAGTTTGGTGGTCTACATTAATAAATATTAAATTTTAAGGTTTGTTCCCAGACAGTTGAGCAGGTTTGGTAATTTTTCCTAATTCTTACAGACTAAGTATTCTGAGCTTTGATAAAAACACGCAAGAATTTGTATGCAAGTTTGGGGCAATTACAGGAAATGGTGTCCATTTCCTGTAATTGTGGTAGTCTAGACAATCACGTGTCAGCTGTCGTATCTTTTCCCTTCCAACATGGTTGCTCTAGATATTTTGCAAGATATATCGAATTAGTTTTCCTAATTAATTATGAAAAGGTTGATGGCAAGTTTAACTACACACCAACATTAAATCACATTGGGTCATAAAAATAATCTTTAAAGGACTGTCGGCGTAATATCAAGAGTGGATAATATCTTCGTTTTTCTAGCTTGAAAATTGTTTGATTCTTACACTTTCCTCCATTGTTTCTGACCCAGGAAATCCCAAGTCAATTGAGAGAAAAGCCACAAATTAAAAATATGTCAAATGTGAATCGAACATTTAACTCTATAAATGGAGTACCACTTGAAGTTACGTCTCCAGTCCCTTTCAGTTCGCCAAATGTTCTCCATATTAATAAGAGAATAAACGAAACGTGAGAAAAATGAGAAAAAATATGATTTTAATTTTCAAGCTTTGTCAGATTTATGAAAGATAAATACAAACAATTTGTGAAGAATTATTGTGATTAATTTGTTTTTTTAAAATCGTGTAATAAGATCGTCTAGACTGACAAACTCAAGAGAAGTGTCCAGTTTTTACCGTACTTAGTAATTACTGATTTTAATGCATTGCATTGAACTTAAATAGGTTTACAGTTTACAGTCAACTCAATATAGTACAATGGTGTAATTCACTTTGTATTGATATTTTCTAACTGTACACTTACTGTGTGGTGTACTCGGTGTACATTGTGTAACTTGCCATTATCACTTTTAAGCATAGAGTATATGTATACTTTTGTAAAACTCAGAACTATTTGAATCCACAGTTTTGTAAAAACTTCACTTAATATATCGCTGTTTTTGAACAATCCTAACACACTGAACACGCTCCATCGCTTATGAACATTTTCGGAGAGTTAAGATGTTAATATCCTTGTTCATAAACGTTTCAGGACTACCGTCACTTTTCATTAAAGTGTTCAGAATAGTTAGAAGCCTCTCTTCCTTGTTCATGAACAGGTTAAGAGAGTTGCATGGACACAATCCTTGTTCATAAATATGTTCAGGATCTGTAAAGATTCTCTCCTTGTTTATGAAATTCTTCATGAAGGTGTAAGACTACTCTCCCTGTTCAGATCTAGCATTGCACTCGAGTTCTGATTCAACTGATCATTTTCGAACTCGACAAAATCATCGAAAAGGCTCGGCCAGGCCTCAGTGTCATCGTACTGTGTAAGGTCGTTTCCAACACTTTGGACGAAATTAAGAAACATAAACCAGGTGTCTCGGGGTATTCCTCGAACCTTGACGGAGAAATTAATAATTTTTTAAGTGATAACATTTTGAAAAGATAAAAGAAGGAACTATTTACTCGCCTCAAACTCTAATTTATTACCCTTATATCTTAGCAAACAGATGTCGTAGACCTTTCATATTTCAAACTAAGAAATCTGATAGATTTAATAGTCTTGGTTTGAAACATAAAAGGTAAATACCATCAGGTTGCAGAGATAAAGGGTTAAAATAAGTGTTTGAGGCGGAAAAATCAGTATCTTTGAGTTGAGTGACATTAGATTTTTAAATTAGGTTTGAAACTTAAAACTCAACTTTAAAATTGACGCCAAAGCAGCAAAAAAAATCTTATTTTCAATTAACAGGGGGGGGTGTCAATTTGTTTAGGGGGGGGGGGGGGGTTTCTACCTGTGGATGTTTTTCTAGAAAATAAACCCATCTCTTGAGTATCGGAGGTTCCTGCTGACTGAAAACTAGTAACCACAAACTCACGGCCATATCAACTGGTAGTATACGCTGACCGCTGGATTGATCCAAACCAAACTGCGGGGAAAAAACAATATTTGAAATTTTCTACCAAACATTTCTCAAGTGCGTTTTTTAATAATATAAATATTTTTGAAAACGACACTTTTATAATTTTTTACAAATGTAACTTAATTTTTAAATATTTTTACAGGAAAAGTTTTTAAAAATAAGAGGAAAGTTTAATAGAGGAATACTGATATGAATTGGTTGCTTAAAGACTTAACTAAAATAAAGTCAAAAATAATATTAAAGATTACTTTTAATGAAAACCTACAAATAAAATTACATAAATAATTATTACCTTAAAAGTAAACCTATAAAGCTCTTTAAAAAGTTCATGATCGTTTACAATGGCAGCTGCTATCTCTGGGAGCTTATTCTGAATTCCTTTCAAAGTGTCCACCTTTCAACAGAATTGTTAATAACAATAAAAAGTCATGAAATTAAAAACAGTGCCTAGTTCATAGCGTAACCAATAAACGACAATCTTTCTTCAGCACTCATATTTTGGTCGTATATTATTCAAGTTTTTTTAGTTTAGTTTTTGGATTACTCCAAGGACCACTAAATGCGAGAAATATGAGTTCCGGTGGTTAACATTATCAATTTGCATTAGAAATTTCATGTTATTCTTCTGTTAGTAAAATAAGGCGGATTTAATGCATGCACTTATGAAAAATATAAAAGATAAATAATAAAATATAAAATAAAAATGAATATAAATAATAAATATAGATGGAAAATGAATAATTACCCCACCTTTAGAGCTTTACACCCTTTGATAAACTCCTGTCTTGTAAACCTACACATCATCTCTGCCTCGAACTTCCAGGCTAGGACTAGACAACAAAAATCATTTTTATCTTATCACTTAAAAACTTGCCTACTATTTGTATTTGAACGTCTTCGATTTCGTACCTAGAACCTTGAACTCATCAGGTTTTAGTTGAAGATCAATACACAGTTGTTCGACGCCCTCGGAAAGAATTGCATCTTCAGTCTCGTCCTTATACTTCTCAAACAGCTGCTGGATCTTAGACTCGGAGAAGGTTCTAGACTCTGAAAAAAATTTAAGTTTAGAATATAATTCAAATATCAAATATCTAAGTGTTTAAAATGAAAATTATTTCGTTTTTCTCAAATCATAGGTTAATCTCTAGTTTAAAAATCTGTCAATCGAAAATGAGAAAATACGCAAACTTAGTCGTTTCCAGGAATTCATAATGAAAGGCGGAGAAAATGAAACTCCTGTTGGATATACGCCTGGGACCAGAGCCCCAGACTTTACAGCTCTAGCTTTATGTGAGAAAGAATTTAAGGAAGTTACTTTGTCATCGTTTCAGGTATTTTTTGGACATTATTCGTATTATAATCTTTATTAATAATTTATTTCTTCTTCAAAAAATATGTTTATAGGGTAAGGCTGTGCTGTTGGTCTTCTATCCTGTGGACTTTTGTTATATTGCTCCCACTGAATTAGTTCTACTTCAAGAAGCCATGAGTGATGAAAATATCTTGGCAATCTCAACAGGTTGGTAGATTTAAAAAAGCAGTAAAAATTATTTATTACGAAATAACAATTGGTTTATAGGAAGTCCTATGGGTAAGCTTGCCTGGGCCTCTACAACTTTGGACAAAGGAGGAATAGAGGTGAGGTGTTTAAAGAGTTATTTACATATGTATAGAAATTATGTATAAACCTTTAAAAATAGGGTGTTACGTTTCCTTTGGTTTCCGATATGACTGGAGATATCACAAAGAAGTTTGGATTTCTAAACGAACCAAGAGGATATGAATTCAGAGGGTATACTGTAGGTAAGAAAAAGACGATATTAATTTCTCTGTATGCATACATATGTTTAATTCCTTTTTTAAAATGACAATAAATCTGGAATTTCTAAAGATGGATTTATTTTAAAATCTAGAATCGAACATAAGTATTGAGATCCATTTATTATTTATTGTCGGGTAAGCCTTCATCTGACATGTTGGGATCTAACTTCAGTCATAATTTATCTCGTCTTGGCTATAGAAACTACTTTCTAGCAATAAGGCTAAATTAAATAATAGGCCGCTTAAAATCAGAGTCTCTGTAGCCAATAAATATTGTTTTTATTATTTTTTTCCTTCTAGTGGATAGTAAGGGTACTGTTGTATGTCGAAGCTTATCTGATCTTCCTTTGGGTAAGTTTTTAATAATACTGTGAAGAAACTTGTCCTTTGTTATTCGTATGTTTTTAAATTAAAATATTTCTTGCTTTAGGTTTGGGAGTAGCTGAGAGTCTCCGAATTTATAAAGCAGCTGATACCGGATGTTCTGCTCCAACCTGGACTCCAGATCAATATAAACCCTTCTCTACTCGTCTTTGCTCAATCTTTAATCCAGCATCCTCGAAAAAACCTTCTCCTGTCACACAGGCAGTTATCCTACAAGCTCCTGTTAAACAGGAGACATCAGACACTTCTTCAGATTCCACAGAGTCCAATCAAGGTGTTCCAACCTCTGACACTGAGAGTTCAGACTCCATTAAAAGCGCTGCTACATCAGGAAGCATTAAATCGAATGAAAGTGGTTCACTAAACGAAGATGAAGAAACTATGACTGAAACCATTATTGAGAAACCAGAGCAATCCGACCAAACCTCAACTCAATCCTCATCCGAACTCAGCTCATCAGGTTCAAGAGCTGTATCATCCGAATTCAGCTCATCAGATTCTAGCGTTGTATCCTTCCCAGCTGCCTCTACTCCTGAATCAGAGAATCCTGGGGATATTCCTTCTCCTTCAACATCAAAACCAGCTGATAAACCTCAGATAAAATCTACAGGGTCAGATTTCACACTAGTTTTTAATCAAATTGGAAATATTTTCAATTTTGAAATTATCTAAATAACCTGGAGAATGATATTTGATATAATTGTGAAATTCTAGACAGACATAAGATGTGTGACTGCAAGTTACCCATATACCATTCAAGTAACCTCCATAAGTATGGAAAAGTAAAGAAATATTAGTTTAGTTTGATATTATTTCGTAACTCTTTCATGGTTTAATTTGGATAAAAATAAATATTAAGATACAAGATAGAATTTGAGAAATTATCATAAAATGTGACATGTCAGTTGATAAGAAAAGAAAAAGTCGAAATATATATGCAAGTTTAGTATATTAGAGCCTGCCTCTGGCTCTGGGGGGGGGGGGCAGGCCTAGGAGGTGCACAGGGGTACCGGCCCCCCACACTACGCCCCTGCGCGCTATATCACATCTAATAGATTCAAAAAGTAATTACCACTATTATTCCTATTGAGAGTTCCGGAGAGTTTGAGAGCTAAACTCTTCTTCTCCGTCCTAGAGGTAGAACTAGAACCAGAGTTGGATAAATCCTTCACAATCATCCCGTCAAACTTGAGAGATATTGATGGGTGGACAGGGGCCTAAATATAGAAACCATTCTTAATTCATAATCCTCACTTTAGCTTAGATAAATTATTTAAAGAGATTGTAAGCGCAATTTCAAGTGACCCGTCATGCATGAAGATTGCAATGGCCGATTTACAACGGTAACCTTGGAACCTAAATATGATTAAAATGTTGAAAATAACGTCACTCTTACTACTAGAATAATTTGTAATTCTGATAATTTTTCCATTGTTTCTTATAGGCATGTCATGCGCAAGTGCCTTTTGGCAAGGAAACCACCAAGTACAACAGTTTAAAAAATACAAAAACATGGATCTCTACTTTATACTTGATCAGACAATAGGGTATTGTCATGTTTGTATGGAGGGTCTCATGAAATTAAGTTCAGAGACCTTTTGAGAAATGCTCTTATCTCAAATAATTATCCTTGCAACTCTTCTGATATCTGAAAGGTTGGATGATAATTTACCTGAACAATTGTTTCCTCATTAGAATATAATTGCGTTTCTAATAATCCTTCTCCTAGTCCTACATCCTCCTCTATTCCACAAACTATAAAACATATATTAACTTTCTAGATATTAATTCTAATTTATAACTTTTTGTTTTGTAACGCTATGACCATTCCATTAAAAGATAATGGATGTTTTCCATTCATATATTTAAACATAAAATAGCAGAACTAAATTTGATCATGTCTTTTATTTCAGAATTTTAAGTTTCAGAAAAAGCGGATCTGTGCGTGTGCAGCATAACCCTTGTCTGCTAGAACTCGTAGGCATATTTCACATGGACGTACATAGATCTATGGTCGCAGCGCCCGGCCCCCTAATTTATCCTAGCCACATTGCTCGGTCAATGGCCATTTACAAGCAGCATATAGATCGGCACAGAACTAAGCTATATATATAACGTATAAGGAACTAATTATTTTTTTTCGTAAAAATTCTTTAAATCGTGTCGAAATCCTAAATCAAATTTATAGGAAGGGGGGTCCTAGAATCGAACTTAAACTATTATTTTACTCCCAAAAAATCAAAGAGCTTAAACCATCAAAAATTGTTACCTGCATTAGGTGTTTCTGAAAACCGTTGAGAAAGTTTTATTTTGTTTTTTACACTTTGACAAGGTAGGCAGAAGGAGCAGAGATTGCCCATTCTTAAACAAGACTAGAGGAGCAGAGCATCTGATCATATATAGATATAACCAACGCTACTTTTGTTTAATATTTATATTTTATCATTGTTTTCTCTTACTTCGGAAAAATGAGTTCTATAAGTTATAACGATAATTCTTTTGTTGTAACAATCTAGTTTTCTTTCTTAGTTTAAATCAATGAAAACAATAGCAGCTGAGAAGGCAGGTAGACTAGACAGAAACACAAGAAACCTGTTTACTAGGTGAGGCGGGCACACCAGATCACACAACTGATAATCACTTATTTGCAATTTATTGGCACAGAACTGTTCCTTTAGGGACTTTAGGTCATCTACATACTATATGTATGTTTTAAAAACATGTTTAGCACACTATAAATGTATATTATATAAATCATTCCTGTGTCTGAATTCGGCCTCTGGGAATTCTCTTTCATGCTGTTGAGAAACCAAAAAATTAATGACTCGACTTTCAATTGCAGATCCGATTATAAGAAAAAGAAGTAATGTGAGTTTGCCATCAAAAAGAGGATGGGGNGAAATACAAAATAAAGACCCTCTTAGAAAAATGAAGCTCTTAGTCGAGTTCGACACTCCCCCACTAATTCCTTTGAATAATTGATTCATCAACTTACTTAATAACTCAAAACTAATCACAAAGTTCTCCAATCTCCATATGTCCTGATTCCTGAATTTCCAAAATGTGATCTGCAGCCGTTTGTGCTAATTATACCGAAGATATTAAATAAGAAAGTCTTCCACAGTGTGATTGGAGGCAGGAGCGCATCTAGGGGTGTGGGCATGGGGGCCAGGTCCCCTTGAGCCTGGGTAAGGGGGGGCATGCTCCTTGTAGGAGGCAAGAAGTCCATTATAGGTGTTCATATTTAGTTCTAAAAATAGCTAATTTTCTCGAAAATTTGACAAAATATGCCTCCCACACTTTACTTTTTTAACATACACTCTTTAAGCAAACTTTAATTCAAATATAACATTTTTCAATATAAGCTCAGATTCTTTTTCCCTTTCTTTAAAAAAAGCCTCCATTGGATTTTAAAAATTGCACTCACACATTCATTCAATTGCCCCACCAGATATAAATTTGCCCCTTTATTCAACATTTGAAATCCTCGCTTTTAGAATGCCATCAAATTATCAAATATTTTTAATTTGCACCTATTGTTTTATCCTTATAAATGTTTTATAAATATAACCAACTTTAAGATTGACAGCCACCTAAAAAATGCCCCTTATTTTATTTGGGTAAAATTAAGAAGTTTTTCTCCCAACAAAAAAAACCTTTGTTTAAAAAATGCCGCTTTCTATCTATAATTATTGCTTTATAGTTATATAAATATATATATAGGGAAGGTTTATGGCCAATCAGACTTTAAATATGTAATCTTAAAATATTTTTATCTTAATTTATTTAACTAGAAATTCAAGGCGCTTCGCGCCCTTCTTTCTAGCCTTAGAGGGCGCTTCGCGCCCATCTTCTAAATTAGTTGTGAACATGTTCTCTTTGTGTACATCGTAAAACAAAACAAAAATAATTCGCGGATTTTCACAAAAAATTTCGCGGATTTTCAAAATTTTTAAAAATTTAATGACGATGGAACTTTGATGGAGACAAATATTTGAAATTTTGATTTTTCATAAACCTTCCCTGGGGTCCCTAGATGTCCCACAAAAAATTTGGGCCCGATCGGTTCAGCCGTTTTGACGTTTATTGGATACAAACAGACAAACAAACAAACAGACAGACAAGCCAAATTTATATATACAGAGCGTCCCATATCATATCAGATTATCTCCAATCTTTAACACCAAAATAAACCCTTAATACTCGAAAAACTTTTCATTTTCCGCAAGAAAATTCTTGTATAAGACTTATGTTATTTTTCAAAATTATTCATTCTAATGAAATTTTCTAATTAGTCCCAAAAATCGTAATTTAGACCCGTTCTCGGTCTAATATGATGTGGGACACCCTGTAGATGACGATCGAATTTTGATGGAGACAAATATTTGAAATTTTGATTTTTCATAAACCTTCCCTGGGGTCCCTAGATTTCCCACAAAAAATTTGGGCCCGATCGGTTCAGCCGTTTTGACGTTTATTGGATACAAACAGACAAACAAACAAACAGACAGACAAGCTAAATTTATATATAGATTTTGTAAAATTTTGAAAATGCGCGAAAAAAATATTATGAAATCCGCAAATTTTTTTTTTAATGTTATACTGTACAGAGAGAAGATTGACCAAACGGAAAAAAGCCCCCACTCCCAAAAGAATTTAAGATTTCCCCAAACAAAAAATTGCCCCCACCCCCCCCAAAAAAAAATTGACCCTGAAATATGGTTTAAGATTTTCCCCACACAAATTTGCCCCAAACTAAATGGATGCCCCCAAATATAAAAAATTTCCCCAATAATATTCTGAATTGGTATTGTAGTTTTTTCATGACGTTTAGTAATGAGTATAATACACATTTTTCTTGCCCCCCCCCCTTATGATGTTTAGGGGGGTCCAAAAAAAAATGTTCGCGCTACGCGCAAAATACTTGCCCTTTGCAAGGAAAGTTTAGATTGAAGGATAAGGAAAGAATAAGAGTTAAGGATAAGGGAAAGATTGGAGTAAAGAATAACTAATGGTTCAGAGTAAAGGATAAGGAAAGGTTTAGAGTAAAGAATAACTAATCCTTCAGAGTAAAGGATAAGGAAAGGTTCGGAGTAAAGAATAACTAATGGTTCAGAGTAAAGGATAAGTGAAGGTTCAGAGTAAAGGATAAGAAAAGGTTTGGAGTAAAGTATAAGGAAAGGTTTTTAGTAAAGGATAATGAAAGTTTTAGAGTAAAGGATAAGGAAAGGTTTAGAGTAAAGGATAAGGAAAGGTTTAGAGTAAAGGATAAGGAAAGGTTTAGAGTAAAGGATAAGGAAAGGTTCAGAGTAAAGGACAAGAAAAGGTTTAGAGTGAAGGATAAGGTAAGGTTTGAAATAAAGGATGAGAAAAGGTTTAGAGTAAATAATAAGGAAATGTTTAGTGTAAAGGATAAGGAGAGGTTTGGAATAAAGAATAACTAATGGTTCAGAGTAAAGGATAAGGAAAGGTTCAGAGTAAAGGATAAGAAAAGGTTTGGGGTAAAGAAAAGTGATTTTTTCATAATTAAAAATAAGCTTAAGTAAATATGATGGGTCCCCTGTTTTTAATATCTTCTTTTATTTACCAGTACCGAGCTGCTGCCGACACAATTTATAGATAACATTTTTTTTTCATTGGGTAATAGTTATTTATGTCTGAACTTTATAATTGATAATTTCAAAGAAAAGTCAAGTTTTAATTGCATAATTTTCTAACATTTCTTTACATTTTACACATTGACTTGACTTTTAGGAAACACAAATGATCAAGATAAATTTTAGATAATAACCAGTTTATGGTTACTGGGTTACTATAATGTTGGTGCGTTCTTATCCTCCCTAGCTGGTGGACTTACATTTCATCTGATTTAAAATTACATGGGCAACGCCGGGCACTTCAGCTAGTATGATTATATTCTTTTTGACCCAAAGGCATCGAAGAAATTTGGATTGTAATTAAATTGGTGAATTCATAACTATACTTGATTTTACAGACTTTAACCAAAAACAGTTAGGTATCCTTATGAGATGAGTTTTCACAATTCAGGTTTTTTTTGGCTCTCCACTAAACGCTACTATATCTTCAGTCAGTTTTTTTGCAAATTACTACAGAACGAACAGACAGCTTAGTTGAGTGAGTCCTAGAAGAATCTGAGATATTTATCACATCGTAAAATCAGATTTTCTATAGGTTTGCTCTTATCATTAACAAAAAAAATTTGAATAAGATAAAAAAGGCAAATTTATCGAGCCTACAGTTTTAAAATTTGATAAACATATCATATCAGATTCATGTGAATCCTTTTAAGAGCCAAATAATCTTCACACCTTTACACGAGGCCCATCAGTAGTTTTCAGGTTTAGTGAATAATCTTTGCTTTGTTTATTTAGGCTTGTGGAAGCTTGATAAACGCAATTCTTAGTAGAAGAAATTCATCTTACCCCTCTAATATAAATAAACGTGCAAAACTTCGTGTTTGTCTTTATTTTAGTTGTTCTTAAATGATACCTTGAAATTAGAAATACAAAATAAAGACCCTCTTAGAAAAATGAAGCTCATCAAACATGATCAATTTCTACTAATTAAGCAATATGATAAATATTTTCGATTCTAAAGCAAAAACACAATACTGAAACTATTAAAAGCATTGAAGATGCAAAATGTTGAATTTAGTATCTTTTTTAAAGGCCAAGGTTAAAACAGAAGAAACGGAATGCATCTCGCCCTGTTTAGTCCTATTTGTGATTTTTCAAAAAACAACATTTATGTCATTTTAGTTAGATATCGGGAGCACAAAATTAAACTGAAATATATTTGTCGAATCTCCCCTGAAATACTAAACACATAAAGGTTTATATTAAATTATGACAAAATATCATTTCTTTGTTATTAACAGATTTATTACAATTATTATTTAATATCACTGAGTACAATTAAATAGTACATGCATCCCTCTTTTTCCCTTTCTTTAAAAAAAGCCTCCATTGGATTTTAAAAATTGCACTCACACATTCATTCAATTGCCCCACCAGATATAAATTTGCCCCTTTATTCAACATTTGAAATCCTCGCTTTTAGAATGCCATCAAATTATTATTCATGTTTTCACAGGTCTGCATAAATCACAGGGGTTTAACGATATTGTATATATCAACATCTGTTTCGGAGATACATTTACAAAGTTTTTATATAAAAAATAGATTTAACTAAGTGTTATTTGTAAATCCCAATAATTATATTTTTTTCTATTAAAAGGAATGTGCATGAATTTTGAAATGGAAAACAGAAAAACCTTAGTAATAATGTTCGTTCATTTTGTTCTGTGATAAAGTTTCATACAGTGAATCCCAGATACATGAATACATAGACGTCATAAGTTTTTATAATTCTAAAGAAACTTATTTTTAATTCAAGGTAAATTAATAGCCCTGAAATATGAATGCAATTGATATATTAATATTAAACTCATTTTTCCTCGGCATTTGATCCTAAATATGTAATACGACATTATAAAAACTCTTGCTATGTATTCATATATCTGGAATTCACTGTAGTATTCAGAGTTCTTTTGGGCTTACACAGTTTCTTCGCGCTAAGTGTTAATTGTATAATATTAAGTTTTAAATTTATCTTAAAGTCAAGTTGTTTTATAAATAAGCTATCTTTGGAGGCAGGTGGTTCAAGGCACTTCAAAATATCACTTTTTATGGCATGTTTATAGATTTTTTATATAATACTTAATGTTGTTGTTTTTGTATTTTACATGTTTATACAATTCATTGTTCAACAAATAAAGACCTTTGGTTTTTATTCAGCTAATTAAATTGAGTAACTGACTCAAGTAAAGCTAAGTCTGTAAATGATTTGTTTTGAAAAAAAAATTATAATTGTGGAAAGGAAAGCATTTTTACTTATACTATCTCTCAAACTTTTTTTCTTGGAAAACCCTGAAAAGTCTGAACCGTGTGTACATTTTTAAAGGAAAAAAACGTATTGCATTGATTTAATTTTCACTTTTTATGATATTCATATTCAAAGATTTTTTGCGAAAAATATAAACAGATGAAATACAACTTTCATTCTTAACGATTGAAAAAAAATGTAAAATAATAAAGTTTTTTATCCCTTGCCAAACTTCCATGACTTCAAAACCAGAAATATTTTGTAATGAAAAATTAAATTAAGGCGTTTATTTGAATTTTTAGCTGCTGGAAATTCCTAGACTTTTTATTCTTTGTTATTTTTTATATTTTACTCTTAAAGTTAAATCAGCAAGAATTTGAGAAAATTTAAAAAATAGAATTTGTAGGCATTAATGATTTTTAACTGAATAACGATATATCAAAAATATAAAAAAATTAATATGAACTCAATGTTTTTTAGTTCTGGTTTATGAAATCCATTAAAAAGAGTATTCAAAAAAAGAGTCAGCAAGTTTAACTTTCAAAAAGATTAGGCTAATTCTAAAAATATTTCACACTCATTTATTAAATTATTTTTTATTCCAAATTACTAGGTAAAGGGAATAAAATTGGCAATTCCGCAATTCTAAGTTTTCAATTAACAAGTTTAAAAAGTTTATGATTTCAATTTAAATTAAACATGAAAAAAGCTTATAGTAATAAACATGTTAATATACCGGGATGGCATGATGACTATAAACTAGTGAGGCATTTATCAAAAAGTTCTTCATTTGCAATTAATGTTTCTCTTCAAGCAACCTCGAATCAGGACGAATGCAGAACGGATAAGGAGGACTGGGGTGGATCAGGAGAACTGAGACGGATTAGGATGAAGGACGGATTAGGGTGACTCGGACGGACCTGGAAAATCGCAGGACGTATCAAGGCAACTTCATGACGGAGGAGGAGGACTGGGACGTATCAAGACAACTTCGTGACGGAGGAAGAGGACTGAGACGAATCAGGACAACTGTATAGACGGATCAGGTGGACGGGGCGATCAGGACTACTATAGCAGGATCAGAAGAACTGGAACAAAATTGTATGGTTACATGATGCTATTGAACAGGAACAGTGTCAGAATGGATGGGATGAACAGGAACGGAATCAGGATGGATGAATCGGATGAACTGGAACAGGATGGGAGATAGGTCCATGGTTTCCACGTAGTCCCATGTTGAAAGCTCTTACCTGAAATTATTTTCTTAAATATCTGAATTTAAACAAATTTAGTTTCAAATTTATTAATTACATGAACGTTTTCTTAATTGGATAATAATCAAACTTCAAACATTTCATAAGCTATGAGGTATGATTTAAAGTATCTGAAAACTGTAATATTTTTTTTTCTTTGGGCAACCCAGCTTATTGTTTGATGTAAATATTCTCAAAGTCTCCTCTTGTCTCAAAGGGGAAACATTTGACTTTTAACCAGCATTTTTTTTTTTGCAGTGGATAATCTTATGAAAATCATACCTGGAAATCGCATAGGATTTAAGATCTAAAGAAAACATTTGGAAATTCATATTTTGGCCATAAAATGACTGATAATTAATTTTTTGAAATGAATTACAAGTATAGAGTGGCATGTCGGATTTAAATCAGTGTTTTCTTAAAATACTTTTCCGATAAAGAATGCATAATATATCTATTATTTTATCTATTCTTTAAAATTAAAGTGCTTTAGAAACAATGGAAGAACTTGTTAGAATTAAAAACTTTTCAAGGTAAAAAACGCCATCACATCTTCTACATTATTGATAAGATAAAGGTATAAACCGTGAATCGGACATAGTCCTCTTTAATAAAGGATCATTTAGAGTTAATCTCATTAAGTTAATTTCGCATCTTCTCTGTAACTCCCAATCTTGTTTTACCTTATCCTGATCCTGCCGCATGTTGACTCCTAGTTCATGTTCATGTTGATGAACCTCGTGATCTAGGAGTCCTTGACCATGACCATGTCCTTGTCCTCGACCCTGATCCATTAGATGAGCTCGGTGATCCAACCCCCGGGAAGGATCATGATGAGATTGTTGTATTCTAGAGCTAGGATCGATGAGAGGTTGCGTCCCCCTGGAGGGATCAATATGTCCTCTGGGTAGGATATGAACCTGACGACTATGATCAATGTTCAACTGCCAATGATTAGGATCATGTCCAAGTTCCTGAAAAAAAATTATTTGAAATCCAATATTTTCTGATTCAAAATGGCGGACAATAAGTTTCTACCTTAAGAACATAATCATGGAGTCGTTTAACGAGATCTGTCCAGGTTGCGCGCTGTTGCATCAGTTTATCATGATCTGTCATTATCTCAGTTTTCCTGAAAATATTGTCTTGATAAATGATTTGTTTACAGCTAAAAACCGTCAAATCCACTTCGCTCAATCAAACGATAAAGGATGAGCCTTTAGAGACAACTGAATGAAAGGAACTGAGTTCTTGCCACAAACACTGATTTTTTTATCCCGACATCTTTATAACCAGATGTAGTAGATTTAAGTTTAAAATACAACAAATTTACTCCCTCAGGTTGAAAGATATAGGGACTATAAAATACATATAAAATATATAAAATACATAGTACGTAAAGCATGAAGGTGGATGAGTTTCAGAAAGTCATTAAATTCTAGAAGCTTTGTTGGTAACCTGCAGTAGCTACCTTTTCTATGGAACGGGATTGAAATATCCCAAGGGAGGTTTTGTGATAAATAATGCAATGTAGTATAATGCTCTAAAAATTATGAAATTCACATAAATGCAACTGATTACTTGCCTCCGAGTTCCGACTTAAATTTTCTAATCCCTAAACCGAATTGCAACAGATGGGGTCGACCTTTGATAGTGTAAACTTGGATAATTTGATTTTACAGGATTGGTAGTTAGAAATATCAAAGTTTATAACATTAAGTTGTAAACCTATAAAGATTGGACAATTTGGGTATGAGAAGAGTAATCAGAAAATGGCCTAGCATCTAGAGGTAAACACTAAAAATATCTATGAATTCCTAATTTTCGTGAATAAACATTGAACAGCAAAAGAAAAGTTTATATATTCAGAAATGAAAATTGGCAATTTAACAAAAATAAATATTGGCAAAATAACAGAAGTTAATTTTGGCAGTATAACAAAAATGAATATTATCAATATTACAAAAAATAATATTGGCAATATACCGAAAATAAATATTGACAATATACCAAAATGAATATTGACAATATAACAAAAATAAATATTGGCAATACAACAAAAGTGAATATTGACAATATAACAAAAATGAATATTGACAATACAACAAAAATGAATATTGACAATAAAACAAAATGAATATTGACAATAAAACAAAATGAATATTGACAATATAACAAAAGAGAATATTGACAATATAACAAAAATAAATATTGACAATATAACAAAAATGAATATTGACAATATACCAAAATGAATATTGGCAATACAACAAAATGTATATTGGCAATATAACACAAATGAATATTGACAATATAACAAAATGCATATTGGCAATACAACAAAATAAATATTGGCAATACAACAACAATGAATAATGACGGATTTACAAACCTGCATTTAATCCTTGTAACCTCAGTTTCCAGCTGTTTTATCTGATCAATCTTTCGTTTACGGCAGTTCTGTGCAGCCACCTGATTAAACAATATTCAGGTTACTTTCAACTTGGGCTCCAGGAACCCCCATGTATTTGTTTACATAGTGTACTGTGTAGTGTGTACTGCAATATTAATGGAACGTTTATAAACTCCGAGTTTTGTCTCTATTCTCCTTCCAAAAACTGAGCACATTTCAGGTGTATCTTCCTTTCTTATTTTGTAAACAAATATACGGCCGGGTTCATGGTGAATCTTCCTTGCTCATGTATATTTTAAACCTTGCAATAAGTGCGAATAGTAAAGGCTGGGTTTATCAATACTTTTCTTTTTACTTATCAAAATAACTATATAAATATTTACTGTCCACAAATCTTTTTATATATATATTTTGCTTGTCTGTCCGTTTGTTTCTAATAAACGTCAAAACGGCTAGATCGATCGGGCCCGATTTTTTTGTGGGACCTCGCGTGACCCCAGGGATGGTTTATGGATGATGAATTTTTTTAAATTGGCTCTATTTTTGAAAATTTTGAAAATCCATAAATTTTTTTCATAAAATCTGCAAAAAATTTTGTTTGCTTTTGTTTTACAATGTATACAAAGAGAACATGTTCACAATTGAAATAGAAGATGAGCGCGATGCGCCCTAACAGCCTAGTTAATACTAAATTATTTTACTTTTCTATCAAAATATGGTCGAAAGGCCGCGTAAAAGCACATAAAGTTTATTTTTGTTATTCACTTCGCTTGGGGGATAAGTTTAATACTATGCTCCGTGAAATATAAATTAAGATAGATACCTTGTTTTTTCCTCTTCTTCGTATATCCCTACACAGTGTGAGCTGTTCCTCTGTAAGTTCATGCTTGCTGAGTAGATCATTAAACTCATCCATCGGTAGGTTGATAATATCACTGCAGGTTATAGGTAGACCTAGCGCTTGTGCTTTCCTCTCATCCCTGTCACAGATCAGCCTTTCAATAATCTACAGTCTTAGCATCTTATATCCAGTTCAAACCAAGCATATTTAGTGTTCAAAACAGGCATATTCAATGTTTAAACCAGGTATATCTAGTGTTCAATCCAGGCATATTTAGTGTTCAAACCAGTATATTTAGTGTTCAAACCAGGTATATTCAGTGTTCAAACCAGGTATATTTAGTGTTCAAACCAGTATATTTAGTGTTCAAACCAGGTATATTTAGTGCTCAAACCAAGCATATAAAGTGTTCAAACCATGCATATTTAGTGTTCAAACTAGGTATATTTAGTGTTCAAACCAGGTATATTTGGTGTTCAAACCAGGCATATTTAGTGTTCAAACCAGTATATTTAGTGTTCAAACCAGGTATATTTAGTGTTCAAACCAGGTATATTTGGTGTTCAAATTAGGTATATTTAGTGTTCAAACCAGGTATATTTAGTGTTTAACCATGTATATTTAGTGTTCAAACCAGGCATATTTAGTGTTCAAAACTGGCATATTTAGTGTTCAAACCAGGTATATTTAGTGTTCAAACCAGCTATATTAAGTGTTCAAACCATGTATGTTTAGTATTCAAACAAGGTATATTTAGTCTTCAAACCAGGCATATTTAGTTTTCAAACCAGGCATATTAAATGTTCAAACCATTTATAAAGATAAAGTTCAAACCAGCATATTTAGTATTCAAACCATTTATAAAAAGAGTTCAAACCCGGCATAATAATATTATGATCATTAATGACAAACAAATCATGCTTTAACTATTCATTAAAGCATTGTTTACACAACTTTTTATTTTCATGGTCAGTATATTTTTCATCCACTACAAGTCAATAGATTATCTAATATTAAAATTTGTATCTACAGAAAAGTGTTAAAATATAAAATCTACACATACCTAGTAAGACTGTTCCCCCCAGGTAAGCTATCATGCTTTTTTCTTTTCTCCCTTCGACCCATATGCACATAGGGGTTCACCAAACCTAACATTACATTTATTTATTTATCAATTTTCTATGTTTTCATTTATTCGTTTACTCATTTACTAACTCATTTAAAATATTTTATATGTATTTCTTCATTCCTTCATTTGTTAATTAATTGAATTGTTTATTCTTTTGTCAAACATTTATTCATGATATTTTTATTTATAATTTTAATTTAAAAAAATAATTCGTGTTTCCTTACAGTAAATTATTAATTTTAAAAGTTTTTTTGAAACAAAAACTTATGTAAAGAAAATTCGTAAGAAAAAATTGTCAAATTTTGTAAAAATAAGGAGAATACTTCAATTTGTTTAAATTTTGATTACGTTAAATCGAATGCTAAAAGTGCACTAAGCAAGCAGCTACGATGGGCTGAAAGTCGACATCAGGGGATAAGACACAATCCTTAATAAAAAAACGTTTAAAAAACCTCAAAAAATTACCTTCCGCTCCGTATGCGGCGTATGCCGAATAGTAATCTGTCCTCAGGGGTTCATCCTTGACTCCGTATGGGGCGTATGAGTTGTGTAGGAACTCCGGCCCCATATAGGGATGGCGGAGGGGGTCCCCTGCGGCGGATAGGGTTTCCGGGGGGCGGGGCGATGAATTATTTTTGTTCCATTCCCGGATAATTTTCTTCTTTCTATCAGTATAGCTCCTGAACACATTGATTGTCTGAGAAATCAAAAAAGGAAGAAATTACGGAAAGGAGAAAAAGATTTTTTATTCTTAATGGGACTGTATGCGTAATTTCAAGTGACTCTCATGTAAAGATGACAATGCCCAATTTTCAACTGCACCCTTAAATGCTTTTTCAGATCAAGTATGAATACAATTTTAGCGTTTTTGTCTCTTTGAACTATTTATTTTCATTTGCAGTTTCTCTGCGCATTTCTTGTTTATAAGAAGCAATAGAGAAACTCACAGAAATAAACAATTTTCGAATCAGAAGAACTAAGTCATCTTCCACATTTTTAAATCAGATTTATCAGGCTTTAACCGTGCCATCTTTGCCTGGAGGTAAACTTGAAATAACGCTTACAGCCTTTTTAAGTGTAATGCAATTTTTATGATATAAATTAAGCCTTTTATAATTTGGCAAATAAATGTCATCTCAACCTTGCTGCCCTGATTTTTTACCGTATACGGAAATGTTAAGATAAATCTAGTTAAAGCTAAGTATGTCTAAATGTTAAGATAAATCTAGTTTCATAATTTCATAATTTCATTTAATTGTCTAAAGTGACAAAGTCTGCTCAAAAACTATACTTCTGTGAAATTGCAAACATCTGTTTGTTACAATATCAGGAGAAGACCTTGAAGATATGTAAATGAAAGGTTAAGAAAGTATTTTTAAAGTTTTAAATTCACCTATAATCATATTCTTGGTGAGGAAACAGTCCAGGATGCAGTCCAGTGTGATCCAACCAGGCACCCTCATTATAGTAATATTATTAATAAAATAATAATGATACCAACCTCTGGCATTGGTTCATGAGGCATATCAACAGAAGGTTGAAGGTACTGATGTAGAGTCTGCATGACGTCAGTGTGCTCTAAGGGGGCCTAAACAACAAGGTGTAAGGATTACATGCAATGGTACCCAGAATACAGTAAAATTTAGCATCAATACTAAAAATCTAATTACCAAAACACATAATATTACAAACACATTGAAAGATTGCAGTTAGGACCGTAGCTAGTAATCCTTAACGGTCATTTTATCTTTTAAATTTGATGTTTTAAACAGTATTGTCCTCTACGGTGTCCTCAAGGAGTATTACAGAGTTTTCTGGTTACTATTGTACTACGGACTCAAGGAGTATTCCAGAGATTTCTGGTTACTATTGTACTACGGACGCAATGAGTATTCCAGAGTTTTCTGGTTACTATTGTACTACGGACTCAAGGAGTATTCCAGAGTTTTCTGGTTACTATTGTACTACGGACTCAATGAGTATTCCAGAGATTTCTGGTTACTATTGTACTACGGACGCAATGAGTATTCCAGAGTTTTCTGGTTACTATTGTACTACGGACTCAAGGAGTATTACAGAGTTTTCTGGTTACTATTGTACTACGGACTCAAGGAGTATTCCAGAGTTTTCTGATTGCTATTGTACTACGGACTCAAGGAGTATTACAGAGTTTTCTGGTTACTATTGTACTACGGACTCAAGGAGTATTCCAAAATTTACGAAGAATGCATTTTTTGTGGAAAGCATTATATAATAATAATATTACATTTATAAAATTTCAGTTGGTTGGGCCAATCATTCTCAATTTGAGTTTGTACTCAATTAGTTAAAAAATCACCATAACTCCAAAGAACGACCTTATTTTTATGTAAATTAGTTTCTTGTTAATATAATACTGGACTGTCCAGGGAATTTCAAAGTTGCTTGTCTGATTCACATCGGTATTCTTTGAATGTTTATAATAGCGACAATAGGAAAAATATCGCCGGTTTTCTAATTGGAAAAGTGTTGAATTCTGACAATTTCTTTATACGTCCTCCCTACTGCATAAATCCACAAGTCACATGCACGTATTAAAGGAGAGTCTGCAATTGGAAATTTTAAATTCAGTTAGACAAAACAAGGATATCTCAATTTTGCCCATTTTCAAATCGAGGGTTACTTAAAAGTCCCTGTAAAATAATGGTTTGAAACAAAAAATAACTTTTCTCAAAAATCGAAAAAAAAATCGTTGAAAATATCAAAAATTTAATGCTTTAAGATATTCCCTTTACCTGAAAAGATGGAGGACCTCCATTATGATGTTCTCCAGGCTCCGGGACACCTCCATGGTAGTACATGGAAGTATCCATTGGCTCCATTTTATACGGAGGATTGGGAGCAGGAGGATTAGAGCTAGGAGACTCATTACTAGAGCTAAGTGAGAGTGGAGCTAATCCTAAAATAAATATGTAAATGAATTAATATAAGGATTATTAGGTAAAAGAATTATTTATAAATGAATAAAAGAATGTATGAATCAATGGAAGAATGAATATGGAGGTGCTGTAACACCCATGAAAGGAATTGAGTACCTGGAGGTGCTGTAACACCCATGGCTGCGGCAAAGTTGTAGCTGGACCCTGCTGAAGAAACCTCAGGTGGAAGGTGGTGAAGGTTTGGTGCGTAGCCTACTGAGTGGGCGGGATGGGCGTACCCTGAGTATGGATGAGGGAGGGCAGGCTCAGGCTGAAGATGCGAAACTAACCCAGCAAGGTTCCAGGCTACTCGACCCTGTAATAAAAACGTTAAAAATGCTACTTAAAAGAACTGATAGCAAAATTAATGCGAATTGCAAATCCATAATTTGAATAGTGCCAAATACTCCATGTTCTGATAGGCTGCTATTGTAAATGGTTCATGGTAAAATTTTTTGTAATGTTCGCTCTANGGAGGGGCTTATAAAATACGTAAGGGGGGAGAAAGCAATCTTAAAAGTTTTCAAAAGTGTATTCTTTTAGTGTCATTTTTTTATTTTAATGATGATACTGTAGATACAATATTATAATAAACTTTCCTATATTTTATATTTATAAATTCACGAAACCTCCAACAAACAATATTATATTTATTGTGTTTTTAAATAGAGCTAAGTGCTAATGCAATAATGAGTTGTTTTTAATAATTATTTCCAATTTTTCTTTCAGAAGGCTTTTATTATTATTGATTTATATAATCATTTGGTCCAGAAGTACGTTAGAGAGGTGCCCTAAATGTTAAGGCTTTTTTAAAAATTTAAAAATTAAATACTTCCTGCTCAGAAATTATATAAAGATGAAAATATTTACTAGAGTTACTACCGAAAATTGCTGGCAAAGCATGAAACATTAATGTAAAGTTGATTTCTTTTTCAAATAAAAATGTGAAGTTGAAAATGGAAATGAAGACTAAGATATATATGTTTTTAATCTAATAGTTGGGTTTAGAAGAAACAGGAGATTAGAATTTATACTGAATTTGCAAAGTGAATTTTTCAAGATACCTTCCTTAATTGCGGGATTAAGGATATCCAATTCTAAAGTTTTCAGCTCTGTAAGTTTAACGATTGTTGAAATATATATAGACCATAAGCTAGAATGAATTTAGATAGCAGAACTGATTGAAACATTTGGCTTAGAAAAAAAGACGAAATTTATTATTTTGAAGATATTACTAATATATTTCTGAAAAAGATCAGAGCTGAAAACTTTAGAATGAAATATCCAATTGTCAGGTCAATTTGCTTCTCTGGAGTTTAAATTCATGTGGAGAACAAGCAATATTTAAACTGGATATTAAGAAAAAGAGTGGTTTAAGCCTTAATCCTGATATCCACCATTCTAAAGTTTTCAGCTCAGGGCACATTTACAGTTACAAAATATAATATTATAGCGACATTTTGTAATTAAAGATAATAAAGAAGACGACAATCACGTTTTCTAGTTGCAACTCACAAACTCACACTAGTTCAAAAGTTGCATGATCTGAACCAGTACCGGCCCCTCTAGTGTACCCAGTATGTGGTAAACCCAACGCGTGTTATGCAACATAATTAGTCCGGTTGAACTATATTGAACTAAGTGAACTGTATCTATCTGTAAATCTTAGGTCTATCACGTCAAACTAAAGCAATTTGCCCGAAATATTGAAATCTTTTATTTTTTCCATCATAACTCCTCTAATAGAAGAGCTACTGAAAAGATCAAAAATGTTTTGAATTTATGATTTGTAACAAGATAAGTTTTCTTTTCTCATATTTATGCATAAATCAAAGTTTGTGATGCTTCGAGGTCACAAAGTCGTAGAAGTAATGTCGGGTAAATTTGACCGTCTCCCTTCTGTCTAGTTTAAAATGTTAATTGTTGCATAAATCTACCTTCTCCTCTCTTCTTGAACTAGGTCTCCGTATTTCCTGTGAGGCAAGGTTTACTATATCAATGGGCGAGGATACTCTGTGACTAGGAGACGGAGGTCTAACCTCGTCTTTACTAAGCTCTTCTGACGGAGACGGAGTCTCCTCTCCTCCTCCCGGGGAGTTTAGGCTCGTGTACGTCGACACTTGCCTGACGGGGGAGCTGGAGGGAGAGGAACAGGTCACGTGATCACGCCCTGGGGAGGAGTAGGACACCTGATCACGCCCTGGTGAGGAGTAGGTCACATGATCACGCCCTGGGGAGGAGTAGGTCACGTGATTACGCCCTGGGGATGGGGAGGAGTAGGGTGGTAAAAATCCTCCACTTCTGTTTTGCCATCAAAGATTAAATTATGTAATATTGTATAATTGATAAAAAACAAATCTTTCAAAACGTCGTTTTTTCTTTACATTTTGATATTTGTTTAATATTAATATTAATTTGATGCCTAAGGACTAGTTTGGGGTCAACTGATGAAGTTGAGTTTGGGAGAAATATTTCATGGAGTACACTACTTAAATACACAGAATATTCAAATTCAGCCAAAAAATGGTCTTTAGGTCTTGATCTTTTATAAGAAAATAAATACTTTTTAATTTTTGTTGTCATGTATTTATTCTGTTTAAAATCCCTAAAATCTCCGAGGCCAAACGAAGACGACTCCAGATTCACCATTTGAAATATCATAACAACTTGGGGCAATCAGTCATAAACATGCGGGAGCGGGATCGATCATTTCTTCCATCCCAGCACGGCCATTTTCTGCCACAAACGCCCAAATTATTAAAAATTTAAATAAGGTTTGTAAACCAAAATAAACCTATTTATATATAAGAATTAAATAGGGACGTTTTTAGCCGTATATGTTGCATAGCTTACATAATTTTGATCCCAAAATATATATATATATAATTTTAAGCTGATTCTTTAAATAAATATATATATATGTATACTTTGGTAAAAATATTTATAAATAATATTGAAGAGAGAATGTTTTTTTTAAAGTTCTCTTGGTATTACAGTATTCAATGAATTTAGAAATTAACCTTTAGCTTTTTCAACTTTTTCCAAAGGGTATAAACGTCTCCTAGAACTAGAGATAAAAACTGCCTTAATTATACTTCGAATTCAACCTTTTTAACATTTAGTGTTACGTAAAGATCACTATAATTAATTTTTAATTTTTTTTCTTAATTTGCTAAAACTGTAGACGATGAATAACCACAGGGTAATTCAAATTACAGGATTTTATTGAAGTTTTCCAAAGATTACGTGAAATGTTTTGACATTTTATCAATTTTCATCATTTCAACATGTTTTCGGCTTCTGCCTTAAAATCCCAATTAGAACATATGCAGCTATGAAAATGTTGCAGCATTTTAAAATACTGCATCTATGTATTCTTGGAGGTTTACCCTTTAAACATATATTGTTCTGCGAACCTTGAATATTTGCGCGCGCACAACGAGCCTATAATGTAAGTTTTATCTTTCTTTCCTTTCATTTTTTTAAACCTTTCAATGTACATATTAAGGGTGGTCGACTTTGGCCATTGCACTCCACTCTATGGGCATAGGGTTGGTTTTGGATAATAAAACAACATTTAGAAAAGGCGTTTTTTTCGCAAGCTGAAATTGCCAGCCTAAAACCGGTTTTATGAAACTTCTCCTAATTCAAAAATGCAAGTGAAAAAAAAAATTCAACGACATGAGTACCAAAAGATCCGTTTTGAAACACTGAATTCAGAAATTCTGAAATCGGAGAACTCCATTGATAATTTAACAAATTAGAGGCAAAACACTGATATTTGAGACCAAATAATAGCGGAGTTCCAAAAAAAAAACCAGTTTTTTTTGGCCATTTATCAAACAATTTCAAAAATATTGAAATACAAACAACGAGACTGACGGCCCCGACGCATCTTTTGATACCAATTTCGAAGTGTTTTGAAAAACAAAATTTTGTGTTCTTACTTGTGACTTTTATTTTATGACTTTTTTGATATGCTAAATGTCAATTACGGTCAGGGTTTATAGATCTGTAAGCCTGAATTCGGCAAAAACTCTTGTTTGTATGGGAAAATGACATATATATATATATATATATATATAGAATCATTAACACTTATATAAATTGTTCAGCAATAAAATGGAAAAATAATTTGTTTTTTAATAAACAGATGTAATAAGTTTTAAATGTAGATACTTATTAAGCCCCCTCCCCATTTTAGTTTGCTTAAGCTTAATGAAAAAATTACTTACCGGTCGGTTTAGAAAAATTCAAAACATAATTTAACTTATAACTTTATTTTAATTTGATTAAAACTTTAATTTGGTTTGACAGAATTAAAAAATTAACTTTTTCCTAAATTTGCCTTTTTGTACTTTTAAAATTACCAAATATATAAAAAACGTCGGGCAGATTTGCAATATATTAAATGAAACTAAAGAAATGGAATTTTCCCACGAACTAAGATTGTAAAATCCTTATATCTTTGCAACCCATAGTCACCTTAGATATTTCAAACTATGAATTCTGTTAGATCTAATAGTCTAAGTTTGAGGTTGTGACATTAGATTGCAAAGATATAAGGATTACACTACTATTATTTTAGTAAAATTTGACAAATTAATTTCGCAAGCTTTTTCAGATAAAAAAAGACGATGCGCAAGTCGTCTCTCAATTTTCAAGAAATTTCGCTTTTTTGTAAAAATCACTGTATTTTTTTTCTCTAACTTAACTTATTCTCAATAGATGTAAAGTTTTTTGAATATTAGTATTCATCTAAAGATTATTTTTATCAGATAAGACTGAATTTAATTTTCTTTCAGGTTAAAGTCGGAAACTTTTTTTTATTATGAATCGATATGGAATACCTGAGTTCAACCAACAGTTTGTTTCAGAGATTAATATTTTTTGTTCTTAGAGTACGTTATAGCTTATTATTATAATTTAGGGAAAGGTATTTGAATTGAATTTGAAAGGTATTTTTGTCTTTTTCATTTAAAAGAAATTCGAAATAATTAATAATTATAAGAGATAATAAAAACACTGTCTTGAGAAAATCGTTCTCAAGTAAAATAAAATGATTAAAGTTTTAAGTGGTTTAGATTTGAGAAAGCTTGAAAAATATTTCAGACATCTGATAGATATCAAATTAATGAGATTTAAAAAAGCTTAAATTTTTGTGAAAATAGCAAAATTTTAAACTGATTGTCTCGTCAAAAAGTGTCATGAAATTTTTATATTTAAGGATATTTTAAGTAAGGGTTGGTTGAAGTCCACAAATTGGACTTGGGATAATTTATCACAAAGGTTTTCGGAAATAAAACTCCTTTTAAACATATTTCCGGAGTTTTTGCAAAGTCATTAAAATATTTGGGCGTTTGCAGGGCACCTCATGGCTGGGTTTAATAATTTCACATCATGCTGCTGTATAAATTATATCACTGGTGTACACTTCACATCCTTAACTGTATAGATTAACTTTGCGAATTTTCTTCTCCACGATATTTGCGGATTTTCTTAAAAATCTCGGAGTTTGTAAAATTATTAGTCGGAGGTTGCGGAGTAGATGTGAACGCGGGGGGGATGGTGACAGGAGAGTTGACAGGTGTAAACTGACGGTAGCGCAGATATAAGCGCACACAGATACACAGATATATATATACAGATAGATACACAAATATATATACACAGATAGATACACAGATACAAATATAACAATCCAGAAAACTGTCAACCAATTAACATCAGTCATCAGGACAATTTAAGATAAATGTTTCAATTAAAAAACAAGCTTGTTGCTAAAACAGGTTCTTTTGTGAAATATGTTTAATATTGGCCATTTAATTTTATTCTTGTTTTTACTTTAATTTACAATCATCGTTTTTTTTTAATTTCAATGTTTAAACCTTGTCATTCGTAGAACTTCATCAATTTTTTTTCTATAATTCATGCACAAAATAATCTTAATGATAAACAAAACCACCAAAAACTTAGATAAAGACAACGTTGATTCAGAGTTTCTAGTATTTTTTTCTCTCTTATCGTTAATTTTTAGTTTTCATGTATATTATAAATTAGAGTTGGAATTCTTTGTGAAAATAATTTTTTGTGACATACATTTTGTGGATGTCAAAATTTTGCATATGTTTTTTATTTTGGTAAGGTTTGTTTGGTTTAAAAAATTTTGTGACTTCTTAATATTCTTTTATGATGTAATATTCATTGGTTAAATTTAGGTTATGACCAGTAAAGTAATAATTTTTTTCTTGAGTTGGTATAGTTAGTTGGAAAAGTGTTTTCTTGAGTTGGTATAGTTAGTTGGAAAAGTGTTTTCTTGAGTTGGTATAGTTAGTTTTTTCTTGAGTTGGTATAGTTAGTTGGAAAAGTGTTTTCTTGAGTTGGTATAGTTAGTTGGAAAAGTGTTTTCTTGAGTTGGTATAGTTAGTTTGTAAAGTGTTTTACAGGGTTGTAATCATTTTACTCATTTGGACACTTTAGATGGTTTTTAATTGTTCGTCACAGTTTTTTATGTTTGGTTTGGTTTTTGATTGTTTAGCATCTTTTTATCTAAAGATTTGGTATGGGTGTTCTACGTTTTGTTTGTTAGGAATAGGTTTGAAAGGGTTGGTATGAGTTTTTATTTTCTATGTTACTTATTTGGTGAAGTTTTTTTTTATGCTTTATTATGGTTTTCAAGGTGCGGTAAAATTTGTTATGGATAGGAATGGTTTGGAATGGTTTTTATGGTTTGGAATGGTTTGGTATGGTGTGGAATGGTTTTGTATGGAATAATTTGGTTTGGTTTGGAATGGTTTGGTTTTGGTTTGGAATGGTTTGGTATGGTTTATGGTTTGGTAAAGTTTGGTATGGTTTAACACTGGCCTACTGAACCGAATGAAGCCTAGAAGTAGAATTGTACAGAGTTAATCAAGTGTAGAAAATAGTACAATTTCTTTTATTTAATTAATCTAAAATTAGCTAATTTTCAGTTTCAATGTTTTATAATTAAATAATTGTTCTCTTAATCTCCCGTAATTTCTTTTCTTGAGTAATTTAAGACACTTCTTCCTTGTGATTGATTTCGGAGAGATTTTACCTCTTTCCTTGAGTTAAATTTTAGACATAAAACATTATTGACTGGTTTCTTTTATGCTGTCTGTTAGTTTTTTTGTATATCTCATTAAAGTTAAGGGATAATTGTCTTCAAAATCCGCTAAACAGCAAGTCATGTAGGATGTTTGTATTTGTGGTACCTACTACCCAGGGTAGAGGGAGCTGCAGGGATTCCATAGGATGGATATTGGAGATGCATAGATAGGAGCAAGGTATCCAAGGTGCTAGGAGCAAGGTATCCAAGGAGTTAGGAGCAAGGTATCCAAGGGGCTAGAAGCAAGGTATCCAAGGAGCTAGGAGTAAGGTATTCAAGGAGCTAGGAGCAAGGTATCCAAGGAGCTAGGAGCAAGGTATCCAAGGAGCTAGGAGCAAGGTATCAAAGGAGCTAGGAGCAAGGTATCCAAAAAACTAGGAGCAAGGTATCCAAAGAACTAGAAGCAAGGTATCCAAGAAGCTAAGAGCAAGGTATCCAAGGAGCTAGGTGCAAGTTATCCGAGGAGTTATGAGCAAGGTATCCAAGGAGCTAGGAGCAAGGTATCCAAGGAGCTAGGAGCAAGGTATTGTCTCGGCATGTGATAGTTTCACGCATCCTCACACATCATCAATAGAATGTCCGGGGAGTGGGTTTTGGTTGTGAACAATTTTCTCCCCCTCCCTCTTTTTATACCATTCCCCTCCTTCTTTTTATACCCCCCCCCTTCCCCTCCATTTGTTTAAACAGTCTTCTCTTTCCTTTCTCTCATTACCTTCTAATTTATCTATTTTTTTATTTCTTTCCTTTTACTTTTTGAATGTTCTTCACTTGTTTAGTTCAACCGTTTATCTTTTTTATATTTTTAAGGTTTACAAGTTTTAACCTCTTATTACCATCTATGGTTAACTAGGTTAACTAGGTTTTCCCTCCTATCCTCTCCTACCCTCTTCTACCCTCTAGGTTTACTGGGTTTACTAGGTTTAGTAGGTTAACTAGGTTTACTAGGTCTACCCTCCGTTCCTCTCCTTCCCTCTAGGTTTACACGGTTTGCTAGGGTTACCCTCCTATCCTCTCCTACCCTCTAGGTTTACTAGGTTTACTAGGTTTACTAGGTTTACTAGGTTAACTAGGTTTACTAGGTCTACCCTCCTGTCCTCTCATACCCTCTAGATTAACTAGGTTTACTAGGTTTACTAAGTTTACTAGGTTTAGTAGGTTTACTAGGTTTACTAGGTTTACTTGGGTTTACCATCCTATCCTCTCGTACCCTCTAGGTTTACTAGGTTTACCCTCCTATCCTCTCCTACCCTCTAGGTTTACTAGGCTTAGTAGGTTTACTAAGTTTACTATGATTACCTCCTATCCTCTCCTACCCTCTAGGTTTACTAGGTTTAAACTCCTATCTTCTCCTACCCTCTAGGTTTACTAGGTTTACAATGTTTAGAAGGTTTACTATAGTTTACCATCCTGCCTTCTTGTCTCATTATCAATATAAAAACTTGTGTCCGTCCCTCTCTATACAACTTCCAGACCTGGAGTGTAAAAACACCCTTCTGTTCTATTCTACACCCTGAGCTCGTCAAATTAATTCTTGTCCTACAGTTCGTTTTTTCCTTTATTCAACCTTCATATTGGTATGTATTGAGGGTATAGGTTATTATCTATCTATTTCTTTACTATAAATCTATTTAAGATCGTAAACATGAGAAAAATCAATTCGTAAAATATTGCTTAGTAAATAGAAAGTTTTATTAATATATAGCAATTAATTGAAAAAATATTCGAAGTAAAAACTACAAAATTTACTTCTATATTTTTTATTTGCATTTCTTAGCATTGCCATGACTGTTTGATTCTTTATCGTATTATGCTTAGTATTTCTTGATAAAATCCTCCAAACGGACTCTTCTAATTTTAGGGCAATGTTTTAGAATCCAAATGGTATAGGGATTACAAGTCACAACCAGTGTCAATTTTCAGAGAGGTAAACGAAAATATCTCGATCATTGTTTCTCAACTTTCATCTTTCATCTGTGTATAATTTATGGCATACTTTGAACTTTTTGTAAACTTAAACCAAGATAACATTTTGTATGATTTAAAAACCGCATCTTAAAAGACAATCATTATTAGGAAAGCTATTTATCTCATGTATCTCTATACTTTTTACTCATTTTTTTGAGAAGTTTTTGTTTAAAAACAACAAATTCATGTATCGATACATACTCGGATGTATCGATACATAATAGGTAAAGAAACTGATAACTGGTTTTCAAGTCCAACTCTAATATTCTAATTTTTATATGTTTTTAACCTGATGTTGAAGAAGATGATTAACGAATGTTGTATAATAGCCAGGGAAGGGAAGGGAGGTAATCTATGATAAAAGGGGTGTGTATAAAAACAATGATCAGATAGGAAAGTTGGATTTGAAAAAAATCTCTTATTGGAAGATACAATCGAATAAGAAAAAGAACAAAATTAAACAAAACAAAAATTGTTTTAATCAAACTTCTCCAGTTTTTTAATATTATTTTAAAAGTTATAAAACCCCTCCCAAAGCCACCCCTTTTCTTTAATCCTGTTGCGCCCCTACAATCTAGATTTGTAAATAAATAGATCGTGATTAGAGTTTAGTTTTTGTTCAAACACCAATCTAACATTGTCACCTCAGAGAAGTTTTCACAATTGAATCAAATACTTCCAATCTTTCTTTTCTATTTATAAGCTTCAGCAAGTTATATCAGTTCTACTAAATATAAATATAGACAACTATAAGGAAATAAAAAAACATTATCTGTCTACATACATTTTATATATTTATCCATTTATCTATCTATCTATCTATATATCTATCTATCTATCTATCTGTCTATCTATCTATCTGTCTATCTATCTATCTATCAACAAGGATATGGTTCTGGAATTCCCGGGTTATGTTTCTCTCTCTCTCTCGGTTCAAGCCATACACTACACTGTACAGATGATATAGACATATAGTTAGATAAAATAGATAAAAGACACACGTACAGACAGAATACAGACGGACAAAGACAGATAGACTAACTGTAGCTTAGGATACGTTTGCAATATAAAGGGATATTAGAACAAATAAAGACCGACCGACCGGTACAGTTAGCTAGAAAGACAGGATAAAGCTAAGGAGCTAAACAGTATAAAAAACAAACAAACTTTTAGATGCACAGCTACACACTAAAGACAAACAGACTAAAGACACGAACAGCTTCTGAATACAAATAGGCTAAAGATAAACAGAATAAATACAAACAGACTGATAACAAACAGACTAAAAAAATTAACAAACAGACTAAAAAAAATTAACAAACAGACCAAAGACAAACATAAGACACTACACACAAACAGACTATAAACAAACAGGCAGACAACAAAGACAAACAAAAAGACAGTTTTAACGAAAGAAAAAGAAACTGGAGAATAACCTCTTTGCGGCATCACGGAATACAAGCAAAAAAAGATGTACTTTTTAAATATTCTTCCAGAACTTATATATAT